GCCGTGTCCAATTCAACCATCCAGCCATCCATTCATCCGCTCGTCCAGCCATCATCCATTCGGTATTGTGTTTATTATTTTTTGGTGTTTCGTTTCGTTTGCTCCTCTTTTTGTTTTTATGAGGCCGCGCTACGATGCATTTTGTTTGCCTCCTTTTTTTTAGTGGACACGCATTATTAAAAAATAAACAATATTTTGTATATACACGCACTAATACTTATGTGTGTGTGTGGCTCTGTTGCTACTTTTTTTTAAGTGCTCGTAAAAATTCGAGCTGCAGAGCAACACAAATACATTCGAATAATAATAACAATCACGAGCTTGTCTGGCTATTTGGTTTCGTTTCGAATTCAACGCCTTGAGATTTATGCGACAACTGAGAGTGTGAGACTCTCAAGTGATTCTCAATGCGCACTTTCAAAAACGAACACACACATACGAGTACTCGTGCAAATATCATAAATTAATGTAAAGTGCTGCTCAGCTGTCTTGATTCAAAAAAGATCTTACATTTGTCGTTTCAACAGACAATATTTTTAATTATTTATTATTTGCATTGTTTATTTAAATTTCTTTTTTTTTTGGAAAAGTACGTAGTGTGCTTTCTTAAAGTAGGATTTTAAATTAGACAGATGGGTTTTAAGTTGGCTGGGATATTGTATCTATGGTTGGCAAGGATTGGCAGTACTTGGCAATATGGTATTCAACTTATGCTAACTAAAGAGCCAAAAGATTTCGATTAATTTATACATATCTTAATAGAAGAGCTACCTAATATAAGAAAAGAAGTTTCCTAAAAGGGGATTTAATCATCTTTAAGCTCCTATAGAACCTGATTAGGAGAATATATTTTTGATTAAATAATTAATTAATTATTAAAGGATCACTTTTTTGTCAAGTTATAAATAAGAGGGCATTTTTCATGATATTTTTTTCTCTTCTAAGAATACATTTAGCAGAAATGAATGAAACTTAGAATTTAATTAAGAAGTTATTATAACATTATTATTATTATTTTTATACCCTCCAAAGGGTACATAAATTAGATCAATTTTTTAATGAAGGTTCAAAATCCCTTCAACTTAAATTTATAATGAGCAAAAGCATAACAAAATGTTTGTTATTTTTTATAAATTAAATTCAAACCTAGGAAATGTCAGTTTAAAAAAAAAAAAAACTTTTCAATAAATGATTTCAAAAAGTTAATAAATTAAAGCACAATCATTTTTATCATAATAAAGAATTGAAGAATTTCCAAAATTATACATAAATTCAAAATACAAATCCACAATTTAAATACATAATTTAAATTGAATTAAATACATAATTTAATTTATACAATTGATATTTGTTTTTAAGTATTAAGTATTGCTTCCCATTCTTGAAAGCCAATGATGTCCCAAAAAATGGATTTAGATCTAGACATTCTATTTGCTAAGTACATCTGAAGTATAATAGTTCTGTTTTCCACATGAAACATAGCTCCTTACATATCCAACAATATCGAAGGATGTTGTGGATTTTCTTTGAAAAGTTTGTGATTTTTTTTTTGCTTAATATAAGTACGATATACAAAGTTTTTCCACGTGTATATTTGTATGCGTTGCGACAATTAGAAACGCCGCGCCCTAGAGCCAAATCCCAGCAAGCCTGCAATATCTTAAAGTGCATCATAAAAATCACATTTCGAATTATAAAAAAAAAGGAAAAGGAAAGGGTAGATGAGTGTGCAGAAAACGCAGCTGCTACCCAAAACCAGCCAACAGCCTCATATTATGCGCTCTGGACCTTAGGTAGAGCAACTAGCCAAGTGGCTCGCCAACTGGACAACTCAACGTTGCTACTATAAAACGTGCTTTTACGAGCTAGCGCTTATCCTCATCCTCGGCCTTAGTCTCAGTGTCGTCCTTGCCACCGCGCAGGTAAAAAGCTTATTTTGTCTTTGTTTGCCTTTTGACTGGACATTACAATGATTTTAATGGATTTTATGGCCAAAGACATTGGCGGACTTGGCAAGACATTGCACCCATATGGGCGCGTTTTAGTGCCCCCTGATCATTAAAAATTGTTTTATGCAGCAATCGCGCTCAAGAAAATTGCTGATAGCATATTGAATTTCTAACTAATTAGTGAATGCGGCTAAAATAATAAAAGCACAACAGCTGCCACTCTATAGAAAGGCTGAAGAAAAGTGTGATTATTATCGGTGGAATATTCTTTAATAATAGAAATAATTTACTACTAGTATAAATCTGAGCATTAAAACCGAAAGTAATAATGGAATGCCAAGTTTTCAAGGCCGTTGAGTGTAGTGTTAAGCTTTAGAAGGAAACTACAGCGTGCCTGACAAAGTAAGGAACACCTTTAGAAACTAAAAAAATTAAAAAATTGAATTGATTTTTTAGAGAAGTGAGTTTATTTAATTCCGCAGCTTTTAAATAGCGTTTTAGGTAGTCCTTTAGGATGGTGGTTTGAATAGCTTCGACACTCTTTCAGTGCATTCCTTTTTAATGAAAAAAGGCAATTGTCCAAATACATGTTACTCATGATGGTTAAAATGCGGCCTTATGTCAAAAATAAAACACAAGTGTCGACTGATGATATTCCGATATGAAACGCAGGTGAAACAAATTCTCGATGAACAGTTCTCCTCGAACCGAATAACCCAATCAAGATTGTCTTCTTTTTTTTTGAAAATTATATTGAAAACACGTTTAATGACAAGTCGAAAGAATGTACAAGAACATTTGGTCTTCCTTTGACTTCTTAATGATGATGTCTTTCGAATGTAGAATTTTATTATATTTTTATTTCATTGTTTAGTTTATTTTTGAATTGCATTTCTACATAATATACCCTTTTAAATCGTTACAAGTATCACTTTTGAAACTTTTATTTACGATTTAAACATTTAATTAAGCCATAACTGATAAAAGTCGCTACAAACTTTAAAAATTTGTAAGTTTAAAAGGTTTAAGTAACATAACACAATGGTAGTTATACAAACATTATTTATATTGTAATACTTATCTTTTTAAATATTGCTCTAAAAAAAGAAATTAAGCTTCCGCTTTATTCATATAAATATTAATTTGAAAATATTTTTTTATTTTGCCAATATGGTAAGGTCTAAAGACTGCTCGATGGGAAAAAAGGAAATGTAAAAATGCTCTTTTCAGGAGCATTATCTAATAACAATATATATTCCCATTCAGTAGCTCTTTTGTCTTTTAATAATAAGTTATAAGTATATAATCTACACTAGCTATATTTATTAATTTCCAATAATAACTCATTAATTTTGTCTTATTTTCCCTCATATAGCGATAATTAAAATGACACCAAAAGCTGAAGTCAACTCCAGGCCACTGGTTTTAAAAGAAGTCCTCCAATGTTTGTCGATGGCCACAGAAATAAAATTTAGTAATAAAAATTAACAAACATAATTGAATGAATAAATAAATAATTTATCAATTTTCCTCAGTCTTAAGGAATATAAAACAATGACAAATTATAAAAACGATTCGGGTATTTCAGCGAGTTGGTAAGCTGCTTGAACTTAAAGAAAAACTATTCAAATTATAAAACAACACTAAGACGCTGAAATGTCATAATCGCTATATAAATAGAGTTTTTCAAATTGATCTCACTTTGAATTGCATAAAACCCAACAATGCTTGTTGATAGTCTTTAATCCTCCTTTACTAAATATAAGCACTACGAGTATATACCCACATATTTAACATCAACTAACTACGCAAAAACAATTTTTCCAAATACTTGCAATAATTGTAAAAAAAAATCATTTTGAAAATGTAAACAAAATTAACTCAACAATAATTGAACATTAATAGCATGAAAATCAAAGAAATTATGTAAAATGTGTTGCTTAGTATATAAATAAAGTAAAATATTTAAATGAATTTACCAAATTCAATATAATGAAAAATTGTACTATGAACTTATTGTTTATAATGTAACCAATTAATTGTATTTGGCAAGATGTTTCTACTGAAGCTTTTCTTGATCACACCTTCGTATTTCTAAACAATTTTTATTTCCGATAGTTCAATTTTCTTATCATATGCGTAGTAATTTGATTTAATAATTGAGTGATTAGAAGAACGAGTTAGAAAGTTTTTGATTAGGCAAATGCTATGAATTCGGTAAAGAAAACAAATTTGTTCTGTTCCATTAACTACTTTGAAAACCAATTAACTTATTCTGTTTATAATTATAGAGATTGGCACATTTGAAAGGCACATCTAAGATTCGTGTGTTAAATAAAACTTAATATAGAAGCACAGTTTATAAGCTTTAATGTGCGCACGTAATGGGAACTCTAAACAATAAATATGAAGCACATTTTTCCTCAAATATATTATAAATATCTAGTCTCAAGCTTACAATTTCTTATAATAAAGCCGCACACGAATAATGAAATGTTCAACTAGCTAAAATCCTAAATCGAAATAAAACCCATGTAGCTATTCCAAAACACTATTTAATTTGTATGTAAAAATAAAACAATAATCATTATGTGGTTTCAACATTATGTATTTATTTATACCTATTTAATATAAACATACTGGGCTGTGTGGGGTTTGTTTTTCGACACTTTGCGCCAGAAGTGATGGCTGCTTTAAAAATATGAACTTAAACTCTTCTGTTTTTATATTATTTTAAACCAAAAACGTTATGCTATTCAAATAGTAATTAAATTTTGTTTGGCTCTACATAAAATATTAAAAATACAATTTTCAAAAGCCGTAGTAAAATGTTTGAACTAAAATAAACCATTGTAAAATTTGAAACTAAATGGATTGCTTCAAGTTTATAAAAGTCATTGCTAGAAATGAAATACGCCCATATCAAAATACATTGCGAGGAAACTTGAAAGCAATCAGGCAATAGTGAAAATGAATAAAAAATGCTGTAAATAAACTAAAATTGTTGATGCCTCTTTAGTTTAAGTGGAATGATTCATTTTCAGAAAGGAATTGCCTAACTTTAAATTTAATACAAGTATTGTGGCACAAATAACAGCACTTAAGCAATAACTAAAGAAATTTAGAAAAGAAAAAGAGGGACAACATGAAACTGAATTAAAAAACGACAAATAAAACTAGAATTCGAGCTCAATCCGTTACATGCCAAACAAACCCTTGAGATCGTCAATGGTGAGCTTGGAGCTCACCTTGGCGCCCGTGAGCACGCCTTCGGCCAATTCAAGCTTTTTATCCTGCAGCGCCTTGATGCGCTGTTCAACAGTGTCCAGGCACATAAACTTATAAATGATGACATTCTTTTTCTGGCCGACACGATAAATTCGATCCTGGGCCTGTGCCTCCAACTGTGGATTCCAGTGTAAATCAATTAACAGAAGATGATTGGCACCCACCAGATTTAACCCAACACCGCCAGCAGTTAATGATAATAATAGAATTCTCTTCGAGCTTTTGGGATCGTTGAACTGGTTGACAATGTCCTGACGATGTTTTACGGGAATGCTGCCGTTCAGCGACAAAGTGCTTATTTTGGCAGCCTCCAAGTGATCGCGCAAAAGGTCCAAAACAGATGTCCATTGCGAAACTATAATCGCTTTATCTTTGGACTTCAAAACATTGCTCTTTAAAATGTCCATAACCTTGAGCATTTTTGTTGATGGCCGCTTCAGATCGAAGACAGGATTGGTACGCTTCAACACATTCTTCGATGCCTTGGCAATGCGTGCCTCATCGCCGCCACTACTACCGCGTGAGCGACGCGACGATTGTGAGGAATCGTTAATGGCTAGCTTGTTCAGTTGATCTAGCAAGTCAATTTCTGGAGACTCAGCGTCGCTTTCATCGCCACCCAAGCTTTCAGAGCCCTCCAGCATCTACAAATTAGTTTGTGGTAGAGTTTTAAGTCGATTTTAAATTGAAATACTTACCGCATCGATCAAACCCGGATGGCAACAGATTTGCCGCAAGCGCAGAAGCAGGACTAAAATATCATGAGACTTGACTTCCTTATCGCCATGATACATCCGCGAGAACTTCTCATGCATTTTATAGTAGGCCCCATTGGGATCTTTGATTTGACTGTAGGTCGGTTTGTTGGCATCGTTAATGAAATTCAAATCGGAATCCTTTTCAGCACGCTGAAACAAGAATTGAGCAAACAGGGTGCGCGAATAAGTCATAATCTTTTGGTAGACATTCATTTCATCTGTATCGAGTGTAACTTCAATAAGACGCATCTCCTTATTCGGCAGATTATCCAGCTTGCCTTCGAGTTGCAGCTGAGCTTTGGTGCGGCGCAACATAATGGTTTTCATTAATGTATTTAGACGCTGTTGTCCACCAGCGCTCTTGTTATCGATCCACTTTTTCCAAGTTACCAAATCATCGAATGGCGAACAGCGCAGAAATTTCAGAAGCGCATAAACGTCCAGTTCCTTATTTTGTATGGGTGTGCCCGTCAATGCCCAACGATATTTACCAAGTAACTCGGAAACAGCTACCGACGACTGCGCCTTATGATTTCGCACCACATGCGCCTCATCCAATATTATGCGATGCCATTTTAGCCCAAACAGAGCCCCATGGACAGCCTTGTGCTCGCGTGCCACAATATTGTAGGTGGTGACAACAATGTCGTAGGTTCGCAAATGCTTGGCCTTTGTCTCACGATTGTTGCCATGATGAACGCACACAGTCAGTTTGTTGCGCGACACCTTCGATCCAACCTCACCCTCCCATTGCAGCAGCAAACTGGCTGGGCAGACAACTAAAGTTCCGCCTTTATAACCTAAAATAAAGCATAATTCAGCGTTCAGATTAAATTTAAATAAAATAATTTCCGCCAGTAGCTTACTTTCTTTGCGGCTTCCCTTGGAAATCCAGCTGCCACCACTTTTACGTTTATCACGACGCTCGCCTTCAGAGTCACTGTTGGAAGAATTGGCGCCAGCACCAGCCTCCCGACGGTTTTTGCAAGCCAATACTGAGGATATCATAGTCAGTGTTTTACCCAAACCCATATCATCAGCCAATATGCCACCACGCGGGTTCTGCTGCTCACGCCACTCCATCCAGGCGAGCGCATGTTTCTGATGGTCCATTAAAGTCACCTTTAAGCCCTTCGGATCGTCAGCCAGCACTTTTTCTGATGGACAGCCCTTCAAAGAGCCATGCAAATCCTGAAATCACATTTCACCATTAGTTTTAATATATTTCCTATCCAGCTTTCTCAATATGTCTGCATATTAGTCAGTTTATATTGTGTGCGACTAGCTTATAATCAGCGCATGCGCAAGGCACTTAGCCATTAGCCACGCAGGCGACAGTCAACGCACAGTAACTCGTGCCAAATTGAAAGCCAATCATGGCTAGCACCAAGCTAGCATGCGTCTCAGATATCCATTCTTTACAGATTCATCACGAAATATATGGTAAAGGTAGCAGAGAAAATGGGAGACTTTTTATATCCTAAATATTTTTATAGATTAAAACAAAGATTGGTGCAAACGTCGACAGAGACGACAATACTGATTGTTATATAAACATGTATCGTTTATGGAAAATCAAACTTGGAAGATGGAAAAGCCTCGCCCATATCTCTACCGCCTGATCAACTAATAGATTATATACGTTACCTTCAGACGATCTAAAGTCAAAGCTTTTTGTGTATTAAAAGTGGCCATGCCTTTGGCGCCCGTATGAGTTGGTTGAATTTGATGCACCGCTGCCGAAATATCATCCCAACTGGGAGCTCCAGTTTCGGGCTTACGTGGTGGTGCTGCTGCTGGCGGCTGCCGAGGCTGTGGACTCGATCCTGATGAACGCATTCTTCTAGGTTTCGAAGAATTCGGTTCTTCCTTCACCTTCAGTCCACTCATATAAGCTTCTTTTGCGTAAATGTCACGTCGCAAGCCGTCAATGCGCTTTTTTATTTGGCTACCCTTGTCCGACAACTTGTGGGCCACCATATTATACAGACGTTCGGCCTCGGCCTGCTCAACGCGCATCTTAGCTATGGTACGCAATTCCTGTTCGTAGACGTCTTTGTCCACGAACTGCGGTTCATCTTCTTTTTTAATTCTAGAGCGGCGTTGTGGCTCAGACGATGTGCGAGGCTTGGGATTTTGAATGTATGGTTGAATGGTTGGTTGCAATAAATTCTTGGTACTCTTTACCGCCGGAACTTGTCCGGCACTGTTACGTGGCGAGCGCGTGGATTTACGTGCAAATGGAGGCGCTGAAATGTTCTCCTTATTATAGCTCCTATCTGAATCAGTACTCGAAATTTCAATGGGTGTTTCCTTGTTGCTCAAAATGAGCACATCACTACCATTAGATTCGTCTAGCGAATGTGGAGCTTGAGTTATTGGGAACAATGTGGAATGCAAAGATTCTTCAATGTTGTTGGCAAACACAGTACTATAGCGGGGGGATAGGGCCTCATCACTGGTGGCTGCCCGATAGCGTGCCGCAGCAGCTTCTGCAGCTTCATTAAAAGTCTCTTCGGCCTCATCGGTTTTGTACTGTTCGTCATCCTCCTCCTGCATAACCGCCAATGTGGGACGTCTAACAGCATTCGAGTTTCGTGCTGGACGCTCTTCATCGCTATAGTCGATCTCGCTGGAATCGTCGCTCAAGTCCTGCGGTCGTACACCTGTAATGCTCATTCGTGTGGTTGGGGACAACGCACGTGCATCCAATTCGTCCTCTTCCGAGTCGGAGGCAATAGCAGGGCGTCGTGATTTCTGATTCTGACGCCGCGCCGGACGCAAGCTTTCCTCCTCGGACTCAGTGTCCCCAACAGTCACGTTGCTAGCGCCATTGTCATTGACGCTACGACGGGATGAGCGGCTTGATCGGCCTGAGCGTCCTTTTGAAAACACAATTACACATTATGTGCGTTTATGAAGGTAGTATTATACACACCTGTGGAGGCACTGATCACGCTCTCCTCCTCGCTTGTGAAGTATTCATCCTCGCTAGACATATTTCTCACATTAAATACAAATTGAAACGTGACACATGCACAAAAAAAGCAAGTTAATTTAAAATTTGTAGCTGTAAATTTCTAGAGTTGCCAGCTAATGCGCAACTATATGCCGCGCGATAAAATTATTGTATGGCAGGCTCCCGCGTTCTGTTCGATAACTTCAAAAATAATTATTTAAACGACATTCAAATTTAAAACAAGGCCAAATTAAAAGCAAGTATGTAAGCCCTAATAGGTACAGATGAAAATTATACCAAATGTAAAAAATTACGTTAAACGATTAGGTGAAACGACCAAAATATCGATAATAAATAAAAGGTGGCCACTTTATGTTACGTTTCAAAAGGTAACTGACACAGAACTCCACGAACTGGAAAACATCAATGTTTACCCACATCGTTTCGATGTTTTTGGGGGAAGAACATCGTTGAAGTGAACTAGAATACGATATTAATATATACTCGTACATATGATGAAAACACATACATAAATAAGACTGCAACTGCAAGATAATAATATCCTTTGCAATTAGAATTTTTCAAAAACATCTTAACGTACTTAGCTTTTCGACTTCGATTTGTTTTTCAGTGGGAAAGGAATAAAAAAACATCGAACATCGAAAAAACTATCGATATTTAAAATTAATTTCAAAACATCGATGTCTCATCCAGCATAAACAAATCAAAAATAAAGTCGAAATGGATAAAAATCTGACAAAATCGGATACAGACGATGAAAGCGAAAACGTCAACGGGATGTTTAAGGATGAATATGACAACGATACCACGCTCACTATATTCGTAAGTGCCGACGTGTACGAGAAAGAGATGCGAAGCTTCTGCGAGATGCTGGAGAGGGTTCAGCGGGCAGAAAAAACATTTCGTGAGAACAAGGGCAGCTCAGAGGACCACGCACTGTTGCTCAAGCTTCGCGACCGACTGAAACCCCAGGCCGACTATATGGATGCGCTGCGGATCAAGGATGAGGATAAGAATCTGGAGCAGCCGCAATGGACGTGTTTATTTTCCAGTCTGAATCGCCATCGTTACGACAATGGGGAATTGTCGCTGGAACAATTTTATCTGCGAAAGAAGAACATTATCTACGGCCTCAAGATACTCTTCGAACCGCTAAAGACACGACCTAAGGCAGAGGAATTTGCTAACCAACCCACGGCATTGCGTGTCCCATTGATGAAGCATCAAAAACATGCCCTGAAGTGGCTTAAATGGCGCGAGGATAAAGCTCAACAAATACTTGGCGGTATTCTAGCCGATGATATGGGTTTAGGCAAGACCCTAACCATGATTGCACTTATCTTGGATACACACGAGAAGTGCAATGTCAGTGCTAATAAACCGAAACTCGAATGCAGGCCATGGCAGTCACAATTCCAGTATTCCAACCTTGCAACGAGCATAAAGCTCAGGAGCAGTCTATTCGGCTGTGATGAGGACAATGTATATACAACCATATTTTATATATTTGATTTTCATAAAAACATTTCCGTTATAATGATAATTCTGCTGTTTTAGGATAAGGATGATGATATCACTAAAACACAGCTCTTAAGGACCGGACTAAAACGCAAAGTAGAAAACGAATTAAACCAACAAATTAAAAGCACTACCCATGATGAAGAGGAAGACGACGATCTGAACAGGTTGTGCAAACGCCAGAATAGACGGCAATTATTAACCGTAGGCTATGTCCAAGCTTATCTTAATATTAATTATGGACATAATTGTAAAAATAATGCTTTGGTTATTTTTTAGGATAGCGATGACGAAGATGGTAACCACCTGTCCAGCCAAATGAAAGGGAAAACAAAGAGTTATATAAAAGGTACACCACTTAGCGACACTTCGAATGTTGCAGGTCAACAAGCGAGTGAAAGACGTCGGAGACCAAATGCCGCAGGAACATTGGTCGTGTGCCCGGCCAGTGTTATCCATCAATGGCATGATGAGGTTAAAGAAAAAGTGAAGGAATGCCCTCTACTAGTCCATGTCTATCATGGGAGTAGTCGTCAAGATATTGGCTTTCAAAATTTCAAGAGCTTTGATATCGTAATAACATCATACAACACATTATCCGTTGAACGTCGAAATCTGGGCGATGCCTCTTGGCTATTTATGGTCGATTGGAAACGCATCATACTGGACGAAGCCCATATAATACGCAATGAAAAGACAATCGGTTGCGATGCCGTATGTAAGCTTCGCGGCAAATATCGCTGGGCATTAACCGGCACACCCATCCAAAATCGCGCCCGCGATGCCTTCGCCCTGATGTTATTTCTCAAAGTACCCGAATTCCAGAGCCTTAACGAATGGAATAAGAAAGGCCATCACCGCCTGGGTCTGATGCTTCATCCTCTAATGCTACGACGCACGAAGGAGGAACTACAGGCAAATGGGGATATGCCCAAGTTACCGAAACTGGAAATCAAGCAAATGGAGTTGAATCTCTCGACTCAGGAAATGGTCGCCTACCAAATAATATCGGCATTCTCTGAAATCTTATTTGCACAATTTCTTTATCAAATAGAAGAGCGTAATGCAGATCTCGATTATCACAAGTCGGACGAAGCGCCCCGTTTTCTGCGTTCATTCAACGAACACAAATATCAGGAACTCCATCAAAGATTCCTGCGCGCCCTTGGCCACAAACCGGGAGATCAAATAAGCGGCATTATAATATTGGTGCTACTATTGCGATTGCGTCAGTTTTGCTGTCATCCTGGTCTGATGGTGGGCGTAAGTATTAATTATTAAATTTATTTCCTTAATCAATTAAATTAGTTATTAATTGCATTCCATATTCTCACAGATGCTCACTGGCGTCCTCTCGGATGCAGAAAAAAATGAAATGGTCGAGGATGCGCTAGCTATGCAGGGTGAGCTCAAAATAGATGTGGTGGCCGAGGTAAAAAAATTCGAGAGGAGTGTGCATATTGATTTGGAAGAGGAGGAAACAGAATCCAGAACTGCAGCACTCAATTTGCTGAAACCCAGTCATCCGTTATACGATTTCAGCCAGCCCTCATCGAAAATGTTACAGATCCTGGAAACTGTCGATCGCATACTACTCGAAACAAATGACAAGCTCATCATTGTATCGCAATGGACTAGTTTCCTGAAAGTGATCCGACAGCACGTGGAGGCTAAACATTGCAATGTGGGTCTCGATTTCAACGGCCAATTGAATGTGCCTTTGCGGCGTTGCGTGCTGGAGGAGTTTAAGGATATCACGAACGATAAGCGGGTCCTGTTCCTTTCGCTCACCGCAGGCGGTGTGGGCCTCAATTTGAATGTGGCCAATCATTTGCTGCTCGTCGATCTGCATTGGAATCCGCAGCTGGAGCGGCAGGCACAAGACCGAATTTATCGCTATGGCCAGCATAAGCCAACATTTATCTATCGCTTTATGTGCGTCGAGACGGTAGAGCAACGCATTAAAGCTTTGCAGGATCACAAACTGGAGATTGCTAATGTGGTGCTCAACAAGGGTGTCATGGAATCTGGATCCGATGGTGGCTTAACATTGGTGGAGCTAAAGAAATTATTTGGCTACATGCCGCAAACTAACAATCGTACCAGTATAAAGAATTGAAATGTATATAATGCATGTTTTACAATTCACATTTTACTGTCATAAGCAAGAAAATATACATATGCGTTAGCTTTCTAACAGAAACAAGAATGGAATGCTAGCATCGAGTGAGCTCAACTCTTAAATGTCCTGTAAATGTACAAAAAAAAAAAATAAAATCAAAACTTATAAACCGTACATAGAGTCGTACAGTTAAAAAAAAGTAATTTTTTTTACCTTAATATTGTGTAGCAGCAACAGTGATAACACTTATCGCTATAACTTCCTTTACACATACACACTAAAATGATATAATTGAGAACTGAAGACTAGTCGCTGCCTTTGTAGGTGACCTTCTTCAACTAAAGACTTGGATGAAAGGTCACAAAAGGGTACTCCGGACGCAGAGAAAAGACGAGAGCGCATAAGATACCCCTCTTCGAAGCAAAGCGAAAGCACTACCAAAGTGGAGATAGTTGCAATGGCGGGTTTTAGTGGGTGGTAGTCCCACATACCTCCCTTTGACGGCAGATCGAGATGCATGCATCCAAAAAAATTAAGTTGAAAATTCCAAGAATTACAGGAGTCATGGAAAATCAGGAATAGCGTGGGGGAGGAAGGGGTTTGGTGCAGACACGGCTAGATCGACTCGTCTTGCCATACAGAGAATATACATACATGTATGTATGTATGTACATATGTATATACTTTGACTCACTCACTTTCTCCCTTCGGACAAATATAATATAAGTATATAATCTTGTACCTTTCCGGTACGTTTATTATGGTATCAAAAAACGTTATTCAACAAATGTGCATTGAAAATTTCGCATTACACTTTCAATTTTGTAAAGATTCAAAAGCACAAATGCATGCCAGAGGTGTGCTTAATTTCTAAATAGGGATGTGTAACATTCCGCAAGATACACAATGGAGCTGCTTAAGTAAATCCTGGATGACTTTTACTTCTTCAGAATGGCGTTGGCAGCGCTCACAATATTGCGAGCCGATATGCCAAACATATCGATGAGCACAGCTGGTGGACCCGAACGAGGAACCGTCGGCACATACAGATGCTTAACCACGAAGCTTCGATGCTCGGCCAAAGCGCTCAGCACGGCCTCACCCAGACCACCTTGCCTATGTAGAGAAAAGGGAAATTTGTTAGGTCAGATATGCAAATAGTTTGCACACAAATTCAGAAAATGTTAACTCACTGATAATGATCCTCGACGACAACAACGCGCCCGCCGCATTGTTTTCCGTGCTCCACAATCAAATCGACATCAAGAGGCTTGACTGTGAAGGGATCAATGACACGTGCCGTAATGCACTCCTTCTCCAATTGCTCGGCGGCGGTCAAACACTCGTATAGAGTGATGCCGGCACCAATTAGGAGGAGCTCATCGGAGGGCTTTTGACGCACCACCTTGCCACGTCCGACGACGAACTTCTCATCGTTGTTGTAGATGACACAAGTGTTGGGACGAGAGGTGCGAATGAAGCAGACGCCCTTGGTGTTGGCAGCCAATTCAACGGAACGTTCGGTGCTGACCGCGTCCGACGGATAGAAAATTGTGCTGCCTGGAATGGTGCGGAACAAGGCGATGTCCTCAAGACCCATCTGCGAGGGTCCATCTTCGCCGATGCTGCAGCCACAGTGGGAGCCTACGAAATTTACATTCGTTTGCGAAATGGCGCCCATGCGAATCTGATCGAAGGCACGTGTGAAAAAGGTTGCAAAGGTCGAGACAAAGGCAACGGTGCGACGACGACAGGCGGCGCCAATAGCCACGCCCACCAAGTTCTGCTCGGCAATGAAGCATTCAATATAACGCTCCGGGAAGGCCGCACGCAGCTTATCCGAATACGTCGAATTCTTGGTATCGCCATCCAAAGCAATCACGCGATCGTTATCGGCCGCGATCTTAGCCAAGGCCGTGCCGTAGGCCAACCGAGTGGCCACAGCATCGCCCAGTTTATAGTTTGGTGGCTCACACAACTTCACATTGGAAATATCAACCTCGGGCGCCGCGCCAGTCTTGCCCAACTTCTTGGGAGACAGCTTTGCATGCTGATTTATGATTAAACCCTGCAAGTGTTTAATGACCTCGTCGGCCTTATCGCCCAATGGCTTGCCATGCCAGTTATCCTTATCCTCAATTCTAGGGAAGTCCTTGCCCTTAAAGGTCTTACAAATAATGGCCGTAGGCTTCTTTTTGGTGCTGGAAGCACAATGGAAAGCCTTGCACAGCTCATCAATGTCGTGGCCATCAACAACCAATGCGTTGAAGCCAAACGACTCCAGGCGATCGCGATAGACATCCATTTTGTGCTGCAACGATGTGGGTTCCGATTGACCCAATCGATTTACATCGAAGATCACGCACAAATTGTCCAGCTCATAGTACCCGGCGAAGTGGAGAGACTCCCAAACAGAGCCCTCGGCCGATTCACCATCGCCCACAATCACATAAGTACGATAGTCGGCCTTGTCGAAGTTCTTGCCCACATACGCCATGCCAGCACCTACGGCAACGCCCTGACCCAACGATCCAGTGCCCACATCGATGAAGTTAAGACGTGGAGTGGGGTGTCCTTCCAGATCGCTGTCGATCTTACGCAAATTCTTCAGCTCCTCCACCGGGAAAAGACCAGCCTCGGCCCAGGCGGCATACAAAATGGGAGCGGCATGTCCCTTTGACAGGATCAGGCGATCGCTGGAAGGATCACGTGGATGCTTCAAGTTCAAACGCAACTCCTGGAAGAACAGTACAGAAAGGATTTCGGCCAGCGAAGCACATGATGTGGGATGTCTGCAAAATACGTAGAAGGAAAAATTCAATTACTGAAGAAATATCTTTTGGGACTAGAAATTTCGAGTTATTTTTTAATCGTTTTGCTTTACATAACGTAGTTTTTTGCTCAAAAACGAATGTTGCATTTCCATTTAATTAATTATCAATTTATTTTCATTGCTGAACTTTCAATTTTAGCTCAAAGTTTAGTATTTAGTGTAGCATCAAAATACATTTATTTACACTCCGGAAGAGTAATCTAAAATAATTTAATTTGCGTATATTTTATAATCTTCAGAAAAATTTCTGCAAAAACTGCAGTTTATTCTCATACATGTTTGGATAATTTTTCCCATGCTCTTGTTATTTAAAGCTATTTATACTGTATCTGTATCTTTGGCAAAACTCCAATAACTCAGCCGCAGAAGCCGCAAGATTTTTGCTGCTGCTGCTGGCATTGGCAACCCTACACCAAAAGAGGGGCTCGTCTTTCACTGTTGCTTATAAATAAACACATACACAATCGTCTTGACTTGGGCAAAAGATACAAAACCTAATAGGTATCTATGTATGTACATATCTACTCGTACATACATGGATCTACAAACATGCAGTAGAGTACTCCCTGCCAAAATTTGAAACCGGTCTCTTGGACCTTGAACCTGTCTGACTCCGTCTTCCTAAATGCTTTGTCTTGGAGGTAAGATTCTAAAATAAATAATTCGCAGACATTTTGTGCATGTATTCCCAGCCCTTTCATTTCATATTCAACACGTGCTGAACAAGTTCTTTCAGAAAAGGAACAATTTTTGTTATACTCAAGACATTTAAAAGTTCTGAGCAGCTTGCTATCAAAGATTAAAAATTCCTATCACAATCGAATGGGGAGGTGCCTATTTGTTATAAATGGAAAAGGGGTTCGACGCTCTGAAATATTTATAAGTATATTTAGATTTCTAACATTTAATTAAAATATTCCAGCAAACTCCTATAGCAACAATTATACCTAAACTAGTTAGCAAATGGGCGTTTATTATCCATTTGTTTGGCAATTAGGCTTATCTAAATCATTTTAATAGAAAGGTTGTAAAAACGTAAATGGAATAAAGTTGTTGAATGTACAAACAAAAAATTATCTTCATTAATGCTGTTGGTAACACTTTAAAAAGGTTATGAACGCGCTTTTCTCTGAAGCTTAAAGCAAAAGCTCATGTGAAGCAAACTTTTTTTTTATAAATATATTCCCTGCAGTGCGACAATTTACTATTTAACTACATTTTCGGGGAACTAGTTACTTCGCAACTATTTACTGTTACAAGAATTTACAAAGTCTGATTTGTTATAAAGTTATTAATTATCAAAATGGCAATATCGTAATCAATATACAACGTTAAAACAGAATCTCATCAATTTAATACTGTTTCGTTGCGTTTTTTATTGCACGAATTCAATAGGTTAAAGACAATGATTATTTAATTGTAATTACAAAATAAAATAAAAAACTCAATTATGCCTTTTAATACAATTCCGGACACAAAATAATTTTGTTACGAGTAGTTTTACACAAGTTCAAAAAACCGCTAGAGTTTCAGCCTAGTTCATAGAACTGCTGGGCTAAGACAATGCCGGTTAGTCGGATATGTATTAATATGTGTGTATATATGTGTACTAATTTCAACACTGAAAGTTGAAGAAATAATGCCTAAATAGTAATAAGAATAATTCGTGAAGGTCAATAAAGGTCAATAAAAAATTAAACAATCAGTTAAAATGTGTGCAAGTCGACTCTTAAGCTTATCAGCACATTACACAAACACACACACACGCACACACTAGGCACGCATTCGTGAAAAATCTGTTAACGGCGTTGCATTAAGAAAACACGTGGCTTGGTCTTTTTCAAGCAGGGGTCACCTTTGGCTTGAAGAGTCCAGCGATTGCAACAAGTGCCAAGGTGCACAACTATTTCATTTGTTTTTGCATACACTAATAGGCGTATATATACAGAAACGTATGACATACGTATATATTTAGTACGACTTCATCAACTTACCCCGATTTCGAGGCTTGCGTCGAGGTGATAGAATGTATGCGCAAACGTTGTGCCAAATCCTTCAAGGTCTGTACAGTTTTTGCCTCCGGCTTGTGGTATGACATTTTGACAAATAATAACTGTCCTAGGGAGTTCCGGTTAAAAAGTAGGTTCTTCTTAGTTAGCGATAGGGCGAGATTAACAGCTTGTTTGCCAACGACTGTAAATGAATATGCCGTCTTGAAGTGCTACAATAAACACTACGAAGTGGCTTCTCCGACGGTGGTTGCGGTGGAACTATGGGCGACGACGACAACGAACCGATGTAGCCGGCGTTTGAAAGCAAACTGCTACGTCGGGCTCTGAAGTTGTCGTCGTTGAGTTTGCCGCTTGGGGACGCAATTTTAGCGCTTGCTTCAAAAAGCTTTGTCATGAACAGCAAATATGTATCTTTGATTGCGACGCGCTTATTGAGCTGAAACGAGACGGTTATACACAATCCCAATTAGTTTTCTATTCTATTCTCATATGTTGTACGTATACAATAAATTCGTATTTGAACATCGCGCTTTTTGAACACAATGACGCGCTCGTAGCTTGCGTGTAAATTTAACGAAATAATAATCACACACACACAATGCGTCGGCAGCCAAATGCGTATTTTGGTCAGCGTCTCAACAACCCTTCGATAGCTCAGTTGGTAGAGCGGTGGACTGTAGAACGGTAACAAATGCAATAGATATCCATAGGTCGCTGGTTCAAATCCGGCTCGAAGGAGACAGAATCTTTTTTTCTACTTTTTTAAAATCTCTTTTTATACACGTGTGTTTGCGTACTTCAATTTTAGTGTATCTTAATAAGGTTTAATCTAACGCTTACCCAAATTATGGTAAACTTTCGGCGATGCTCACTCTTAAATTTTGAAATAGAAATTCCAAGGGCCAAAACAATTTTAAAATTCGGAATTTTAAAGTAAGTTGTGTATGAATGATTTTAAAACAAATGCTATAGAGTATTTTGATTCTCCATAGTGTGAATGTATATACATACATATATGTGATAAAGCCAAAGTATATTTGCCTAATTGTATAAATGCAATTGTATTATACAATTATACAATGTATTATTATTCAATTTAAATAAAATATAAAGAGAATTTCAAAAACAGTGAAATTAAAAAATTAAAAAAAATTCGATCCTTCGAGCCGGATTTGAACCAGCGACCTATGGATGTCTACTTTTTGTTACCGTTCTACAGTCCACCGCTCTACCAACTGAGCTATCGAAGGCTTGTGAGGTGGGCGTCAAAATACACATTTGAGTACACAACAAACAAAAACAAAGCATTTCACAACTCGTATGGTATTGTAATATTGATACATTTATTTAATCTATCTATCTTCTTTTATCTTATTTTAAAAATACAAGAGTAAAATTAGAAACATACGTAGTTTGCTTAGTATTATTATTATTATTTTTGTTCTTTTTAGTTTTTTTTTTGTTATTCTTTATTGAGTCAGAGCTTCTGTGTAAACGATATTTGATGTTGTTGTATCGTAAGGCAACAAAATAAATTGAGGGAGCTCCAACACGTAATAGCTCAACAAATTGTTGGCCATAACTGTGAAATAATTAAATAATAACAATAATATGTGCACAAATAGCGGAAGTTAAGATATTTTATAAAAATCTTGTAGTAGGTCACATGGGTATACGTAGAAAGAAATAAAAGAAATATGAAAAATATGAAACTATTTTGTATGCATTTGAAACGTCCATTACCAACAGGTGCGCGTCCGGCCAAGAGAGGTTTTCTTTCAAATTTGATGTGTGTATCCATGTCAGCGTTCGTTAACACGAGGTTCGCGTCCAGCCAATAGAGGCTTTAGTTTGTATTTCTCTAAAAATATTGTCCGCGTCCGGTCAAGAGAGTGTCCACCCAAGAGAGGCGAACTTGCTCTAAAAAGGACACCAAAACGGATGTTCTAGAAAAAGTGTCCGTCTAAGAGGGATGTCCGGTAAGGGAGTTTTCACTGTATGTAGGCTATGTTAACCGGGGATAGTGTAGCTTCCCAACAGTGAAAGACGCACAAGCAGATTGATTGTGTGACTACTCGATTTTCAGTAGGATTTACTAATCACCCCAACGGTATTTTTTGGTGTAGATGTTGTTGTAGGACTCCCGATTTAAAATTTCGTGCCTTAAATCGGTCCACTCTTTCCTCTTTATAATATTAGTATCGATAAGTTCTTCTGTAGTTCAAAAATGCCTTAACATTTTCAATTGACAAATTTTATCAATGCTAAAGGTGTTAACAGGCTCTTGTAGGGCTCTCGATTTAAAATTTCGTGCCCACTGCTGCTTTATATTATAAGTATCGGTAAATTCACCTGTAGTTCCAAAATGACTTAACATTTTCAATTGACAAATTTCAACCATGCTAAAGATGTTAACAGGCTGTTTCTTTTCAATTTCGTATCTGACATAAGCCACATCCGTGTCATTTAACAGTTCATTGTCATCGTAGAGACCTAGTCTACATTTAATGGATTTTGAGGAGACCGGGCCATCATATTTTGGAGCTTCATAAATAACCATTCTACGTGATTTTATTATTTCACTGGGCTGAATAAACGCTGATTTCCATTCTCCTTCGGCTTCGCAGATTCTAATCAGATAGTTTTTTTTAACATCGGAAAGTAATAGATGTATCCTAGTTTTCCCATCAACAGACAACTCGCTATTGCAGCAATAATCGATACGTACCATATCACTCGCATTAAGTATGCCTTGTGAAATAATGGTATCGGCTATTTTTTCACGTTTTTGGCCATTTATGATAAACGTGGTAAAAGCTAGATGGACCTTTAAAGGCGTAAAATAACATATTCAGAAAGGAAACTTCATAATTTTATTATGTATGGTGCACTTACCGTTTCGTCCTTGCCAGACTTCTTCAACATCACATCATCAGAAGGCATCTGAACTAAATCAGCGGTAATTGGTGCCTTTAATCTTGCTAAATTCTCTCGTATCTCTTTATATCCGCTCTTAACAATGCAATAGTTTTCTAATTCAAATTTAAAAGTCGTGCTGTATACATTATTAGAGTCGACTTTCATATAAGCGGACACGGGCTCAAAATTTAAATTGATTTCTCTCCTTTCATTTCTTTTCCGGGGCTTTTCGTAGCCTTCTTTTTGCCCAATGTACTGCAGTGTGTTTCCCGATACGAAATATTCTTCGGAACCTTCCATCTTTTTAACCAATTGACACACAATCATGATATCTTTGCCAAAATGCTTAGGGCAGCTCAAAGATACGGCCGGCCATTTGCCTTTTTGTGATTTCAGGGGTCCTCGCAGCCCTTCGCTGATGTAACGAAAGTGATGGCGACCCGAGGGCTGCGCCGAAAATTTAAAAGAAACTCCCATATTTTTCTTCATTCTTGCCTTGCTGTTGTATTGCTCTCTTATCGACAACTGCGAAAAAAAAACGGCATTTTTATTTATATATAGCGACAAAAAGCTTTTGAATCTTTGTATGTATGTATGTGTAACCACTCGGGGACTTTCTTTAATCACAATTCTATATTGCTTACTTGTAACCATTATCATTCTAATTAAAATTTTCTAGATTATGTTATTTTTGGGAAACCATTGTTTTGTATTAGGATATAATGTTGAACAATAACTAAACTAACTAAAATAGTATTTAATTTAAAAAAAAAATGTATTTCAAATCTTTTTCTCACCTCACTTTTAAAGATTTAAAAAATTTGTTTCTTAAGATAAATCCACAAATTTTGAAAATTAGAAAACTTACCGAACTGGCAACTTAAGACAGTTCTTATGGTCTCTGAGATCCAGGTGTTCATACGGACGGACAGACAGACAGGGCTAGATCGACTCGTTTTGTCACTGATCAAGCAAACCTAATATACACTTGTACAATATACCCATGTACAGTATTTAATCATAATCAGTTCTGATTTGCTGCAATAGGCTCATAGCATAATGGGTGGGACTGATAAACTAATTAGTAGCCAATGGGCTGTTATGATGTAGATAGGCTATTTTTTAAAAAAAAACATTTGAAACATACATATACTAAATATGCATATATAGCAAGTGGATTCTAAAAAAAATCAACAGTAAGCATTTCTTTATAATGCACATTCTTTAGAAAATACTCACTACATTCTGATTCCTAGGCACAACAAATTAAATCTACGAACACATGAGTACATACATACGTAGTACGGCGTATGTACACCCGAGAAAAAGGGGCCTTAGCCCAGGTTTCATTCACACAAACAAAGCGAGCTTTTTATACTCTGCACATGAAATGTACAAGAGTATATTAGGTTTGCGGGAGCTGAAAAATGTAACAGGCAGAAGGAGGCGTGGCAGACCCCACAAAGTATATATATTATTGATCAGCGTGACAAGACGAGTCGATCTAGCCCTGTCTGTCTGTCTGTCCGTCCGTATGAACACCTGGATCTCAGAGACTATAAGAGATAGAGACACCAAATTTTCCACAAAGATGCGTTATGTGTGTATTCTATACGAGTTTGTTTTATTTTTTTGATTTTCCCCCCCCACTTCCCCCCTATGGGGGTTTTCCCGATTTTCCATTCGTATAATCGCCTATATCTCGGAGACTATAAGACCTAGGAACACCAAATTTTAGTCCAAGATGCCTTGTGTGAATACGCAGAAAATGTATATTTTGGAATTCCCCTCCCTCCCCCCTCTTCACCGCAAATGCGATTTTCTCTAACTCCCGTAATTCTTGGAATTTCGAACTAAAATTTTGCAAATACCCCCAGTTAGTAATTATGTGTCCGTATGCCAAGTTTCACTATGATAGACCGATTTACCAAGAAGTTATAGCCATAAATATATTTGCTGCTGCAGCGCTGCTCAAGCGCTACTCAAGCGCTGCCCGCGGCTGTTGTTGATGTTGCTGTTTGGTTGACTGCGAAAATGCTTACACAGACACGAATTGATGCGCATAGGCATACATACACTCACACAGACGCAATTGCTATGTAAATGTGCAATTATACACCCTTTACGTGAGTTCGAATACCGAGAGAGGTAAAATCGATCGACATTTTTTTTTTATTTTTTTAATTTTCTTAATTTAATTTCAGTAATTATTCTGAACATATGTACAGAGTATTTCAAAGTCGCGACACCCGGCAAGTAAAAAAGCTAAAGTTACTTGTTTAAAGCTTTTTGTGCGATACAAAAGTATTTGTTCACGGCTAGCTTGTTAATTAATTACCGTTTATTTGATTTGATCCTTTCAAAAACTGGTGTTTAAGATTTGATTTTGCTGTACACTAGTATATGAATTGAATATTATAAAAAGTAAATATAACCGCAAAAACGTACTCCCCGTAATCACAAATACCTACAATGTAAGCTATAGATTGACAGAAATTAAGGGTATTGCTGTTATTTTGGACCCGATGTAAGAATAAGATTGCGAAATATATGCTATTTAATATTTTTTTGAATTTGTTGTTTTGATGTAAGGGCATTAAAAACCTTAATCCCCCTTTTTGTCTAAAAACGTTACACGATTAGAACATTTTGTATTTGTATAGATGATTTTTGTTAGATTAGTATGTCTTTTGTGGAACATATAATCCATTAATTCTTTGTTTGACTTGATAAACACAAAAATAACACTAGGGAGTGAATTTTAGCGCCAACTAACGCGACGAGTATTGTTTCACTAGTTCAGGGTAACTAGTTCGCGTGAACTGAGACAGCAGATGACCGACTCCACTCCAAATGGTCCTCACCGGCTGCGTTGACAGCTGAACATAAACTAAATCGTATCCATAATAACAAATCATGTCTAGCATAGCAAGGAACAGTTACAAGTTGTTTGTCGGTAATCTGCCGTGGACTACTGGGAGCAAGGAGCTAAAAATATACTTTTCACGCTACGGCCATGTGTCAAATGCAGAGGTGGTTTTCGACAAACTGGGCCTATCAAAATACTACGGCTTCGTGACGTTCAGTCAACGCGACGCCTATAATAGCGCCAGCAATCAGAACACACACTTTTTAGAGGGCCGCGTGTTAAACGTTCAGCGCGCCAATGAGAACTAGAGATAAAACGATGAAAACAGAAGTTAAAAATAATGTATTTTACTCAACCAAATGTTGATTAAAGAAGGTGACAAAAACGTTATTGTGCTGGTTTGGAATTTTGTTCAGCTCGCGTGGGTGGCAGATAGTCCCTGTAGTTGGAGCCCACCGCATCCTGCACGTTATCGAATCCCTTTTCGGCAATCAATATGGAGAGCTGCTCTTTGACACGTTCCACGAGTTCAGGTCCCTCGTAAACGAGTGCCGTGTATATTTGCACATAGGAAGCGCCTGCTTCGATTTTCTCATACGCATCGTAGCCGGAGGAAATGCCACCGACCCCGATGATGGGTATGCGGCCATTGGTGAGGGCATACATTTGTGCCACCATTTGGGTGGTACGTTTGCGTAGTGGCTTGCCACTCAGGCCACCGCCCTGAACCGCCGTCGATGTGTCCTGGAGATTCTCACGCGTCACCGTCGTATTGGCCACAATGAGACCGTCCACCCGACTCTTTTTCTTTGTAATCACATTTACAATATCACGCATGTCCTGCAGCTCCAAATCCGGTGACAATTTTAAAAGTACTGGTACATTTGGGTTCTCCGTAAGGCCTGCACGCGCATTGTTTACGGCCTCAAGAAGCTCTTGCAATCGCTGCTTGCTCTGTAAATCCCGTAGGCCGCGTGTATTTGGACTACTTACGTTCACTACAAGATAATCGGCCACAGGACCAAAAGTCTGCACCCCCAGCACATAGTCATCGACGGCGTTTCTTGTGCGCCGATTGCGGCCCAAATTAACGCCTATCACACCATTGAAATCCTCTTTTTGGCGTTCGTGACGCAATCGCTGGAGCACCGGCTGAGCACCTTCGCTATTGAAGCCGTATCGATTTATAATGGCCCGATCATCACTGAGCCGGAAGACGCGTGGCTTTGGATTACCTGCCTGTGGTGCTGGCGTCACAGTTCCGATTTCTATGAAACCAAAACCTAAATCGTGCAAGCCTTCGATGGCTTCACCATTCTTATCAAAACCGGCGGCTATGCCCACAGGATTACTAATCAGACGGCCAAAGAACTTCGTGTGCTGCAAATAAATGCTGATAATTCAACTTTAGGAATGACTTTCCTCCCACTTACCAGATTCAAATCGTCTGGATACTCAGAGGCGGGCTAGATTATCAATAAATGCAGTTTTATTATTTAATTATTAATATTATCATAAAGAGTATTATACTTACATATAGGCGGTGCTTGCAGGCCCACACTGCAAAATTGTGGCTCGTTTCTGCCGGCAAGCAGCGGAGGGCGGGCATAACAAACGTTCCAAATAGATTATCCTGATTGTGGTAAGCCGTTACTCCCATGAATAAAGCTGTGGCGCCGGCCGTTACAATGCTCAACGAGCGCAGGCGTCCCTATGCAATGGAATTTTAAACGAAATAATCCAATTTGCAAAAAATAAAGCACTCACGAATTTCTGTGCTTTGTCCATCACCATGCTTGCATACTCGCTGAATCGGCCCATTATCTCAGTCGATGGTTGGTCGTGCTTTACTCGCTGCCAACTGTTGCACGGTCGTGAGTGCCTAAGCGTGAGCGGGTGGCCTTGTGGTGTGGGGGTGGATGAAATTTATAATATGATTTATATTTTTTTGCATCAATTTATCATAAATTTTGTCATTATTTTTATTGTGTTGAAAATCAGTTTGATTTAAAATCCCAAGCATTTCAGCTATCGATAGCAATTGAACGACTAATCAAAAACATCAGATGAGCGAGTTATTAATGCGCAACACATGAGGGACTGAAATACATATTTAAACACATTTTTTTTCATATTCACAATTAAATTAGAACGGCAGCATTGTAAACAAAATGCAAAAGATATTTGGTATGATTTGAAAATACAAAAACATCGATATAAAAACAACGATAGTGCTATCGATTGTTAATCGAAATCGGTTAATCGAAAATAGTCATCTGGACGTGCGACTTCTTAGGGCGAAGACACTGAATCACAAATGTTGCTTACACGTAAATAACGCGAACAACACAACATGAAAGGCGGCACCTTTCGCAACACACAATGGGATCCCATACTGCTGACATCACAGATTGTATCCATGCAGTGTTGTGTGTACTTTACACTCGGCCTGCTGATCTTCATTGCCAACTACCTGGCTGGAGACAATTACACCCTAGACAACATATTCGAATATCATGTGAGTGTGGCAGGTTCTTTATTTATATCATTATGTACAGCTGTATTGCTTTTGCAGGAAATACATATTTACGATGTAGGTGGCCGGCTGGTTATCTGTGCTTTCATACTCAATTCCTTCCTTGCCTCATTGGCCTTGTGGTTCATTGTGCGGCGCGCCAAGCTGTGTCTGGACTTTAGGTGAGCTCTGCCAATAATTTGAGTTGCTTATTATGACTAATCATAACTCATTTAGCTGCACATTCCATCTGCTGCATCTAATAATCTGCTGGTGGTACAACCGCTCCTTTCCCGCCAACGTATCCTGGTGGCTACTAAATGTCATCACGGCGACGATTATGTGCATTGGCGGCGAATTTTTGTGCCTGCAATCGGAACTGAAAGAAATTCCCGTCGGCTATGCGGCGCTCAATCAAAAGTCGGATGTTTGATCAGAGTGTGTGCAACTTGTGATGTTGAAAAACAAACTAATACTATATCTCTACAAATGTAATTTATTGCCTACATTAGTTAATAATAAATAAGGTAAACTAACATTTCTACGATTAATGGAGTATTTGGTAGATAAATGGCTGCTCACGTCGCAGTTTCAACTCCTTCGGCACCAGTCGAGGCGGAAAATAAAACTTAGGTCCATCTGTATTCTCGCTTGATGATCCCAACACGGACCAAAAGGTTTGCTGATGCGGCACAAACCACCAGTAGCTTAATCCCAACAGTACCATCATAATGAGAGAGCTGAGCAGGAGAAGTGTCCAGCATTGACTGCCTTTTTGCGACTTGTGCATATCGAGAGAAGAGCTGTTAATGACTGGTAACTTGATTCAGCTGTAGGCATTAAATACATCAGTTGCATTAAATACGCACCGCAAATACCTGCCTATGCTCTTCAACTTTTAACAAAAACACTGTTTGTATTCTTGTTTTTCTGTTAATTTAAAAAAAGTCTCAAGCTCAAAGCTCTCTGGACTATGTTCTCTAAAAAAACAGAGAGGTAATCGACAGCGACAACAATTGCAAATACCAAACGTTAAACTTGTTCTCACATTCCGGTGCCGAGCACAATAACAATTCAATCTAATCATCAGGTTTGTCTAATCTAATCTCATTAGTTTATTGCGACGATCGCACTGGTTGCAGCTGGAGACGGGCAATGGACGGGCGACTGGAGCGTTCGAGATGAGCGACTAAGTCTAAGGAGAGAGGGGGAGGATGCAATTAGTGGGTGTGTAGGCAGGTTAGGTTTACTGCGATTGATGAGCTTTTGTAGCAATTGTCACATTTCGGTTGACGATCTGCCAACGTGGGCATTTAGTATGCAAATTAAAATCATAATGTAAATTAATTTTTTTATTGCTTTTCTGAAAGCTCATGATGAGTTTATTTCAAAAGTGGGAACATCGAAAGCTTTTGACAGCGGTTTATTGCCTGAATTGTGTAGGGCGTTATTTATTCTAGAAATGATGCCATAATAAAACCAATTTTTCGGTAAAACTCGATAATAAACAACGCTGCAGACTAATAATTAAATTTGTACATCATTCTCAGTTCCTTTTTGTAAATATATGTATTTATGTATGTTATGTATATGATAATAATAATGAGGAGATATTTATTACATATGCGTATGTATGTATTTGTTTAAATTAAATTCACCAAAAAACATATTTTTTGTTCAAGCCGCGAACGAATACAATGGCGAAAACGAAAACACAAGGACGGGGGATATGGAACTAACGGGTAGAATATTGTTGAGGCTGCCAGCTGTTTGCTTATCTGGTTCTGGCATAACAGCGTCCTTTATTGGGTCTTCACTTTCGTGACGTCATCAACTACAGCTCGTGCTGCCAGAATTTGTACAGTTCGTTTTTTTTCGAGTGTAACCCTAATGCGACTAAATAAGTTTTGGAATTTCATTTTCAACATTTCCTGAATAGTTTTTCTGTAGGAAACTAGCACCAAAGCAGTTCACATGATGACTGTTAAAGTAGTCAAGCCTGAAGCAACGAATTAAAATTAATCAAAATCTTAAAACACAATCATTTTTACGAACGGTTGTCCCTTTTGGTAGTTAATTGGAATGTACTTATTGATATTGAGATTTTTTATCTAATCACTAATAACTCTGTTCAATTATTTAAAGTAAATAATATAATAAATGTATTTGCTGAAGTTTAGCTAAAACTCACGTTGGTATTTATCATCACTATACCAGCGCTGCCAGCGTTTATGAAAAACATTTCATAAAAATTATAACAAAATAGTCTTTGTTTTCATACCCTTAGCATAAGCCACCTACATAGTTTACCTTTTAAGCTTAAAAGTTTTCTGCACATGGGGGATCCTTTGAGCGAACCTTTTTTCAAGATACCCCCATCGTCGATGACTTACAACCGATATAATTGGTCATTAGAATAGTTTTTATTCTAATTAGGAAAATAAAAATGCATTTTCTTGTTTTTGCATTTGCTAAATTTGTTTTCATTTATTATTAGCAAACTTTTAATGTTTTTCGTATTTTTGTGTGTTTGTGTTGCGTTCTTCCATATACATATATGTATATATATATATAGATTTATATATTTTTATATATATCTTCTCTAGGTTATGCTTTAAAATCATTGATCAATCGATTGAAGTTCTTTTGCTTCTTTTTGTGTGTTTGTAACGCGCTTCAACATACATATGACAATTTTTTTTTATATCATATTTAAGTCCGTTTATATGCATGTTTATTACAAATTGATGTTGTTCTTTGTTGTTGTCTAGTTGCTGCGCGCTCTGCTACGCTGGTTTTTGTTGTATTCTAGTAGTTGAATTCAAAATTACAGGAAAAAGAGAAAGTATAACTTTACTTATTGACAAAAATTTAAATGGCGGCAATGAAAAAAATTGGCCGCTATTATTATGTTTAAAATTAGCATTCAAGTTGCTGCTTCACATATTTTGTTGTTGTTACATGTGTATTCTCTAGTTATTTTTGTTGTTGTTGTTGTATTAATATTTGACGCGATTTATGCGTTTTAATAAAACTGAATTGAAACGTGTGGCAAAAATTTGTTTAAATTTCATTCTTGGGCTGTGTGTTGTACGCTTATTAATAATTACGGCTTATGGTGTGTTTCTTTGTTTGTGTGTATTTGTGTGTGATAATGATTTTGAGTGTTGCTTATTATAAACTATACATGAATATTTTATAATAATTCTGCATTTTATTTCAACGGTTCTTTATCATTTGCTTGCTATTGTATATGAGAGTGAGTGTATTATGTATGTTTTTGTATGTAAGTATGTATATAGATGGAGTGAGTGCATTGCAGTTGTTGCTTATGTATGTGTGTATGTTTATGTGTGTGTGTGTGTGTGTGTTATGCATATATATGTGTGTGTGTTTGCTGTGTTGCGCTGCGCACAGACAGTTTCTCTTTCACATTTGCTGTTCTATATATTTTATATAGTTGTTATCGGTTCCTCGCTTCTCGTATGCATATGCCGCTCTCTCTCATTTTGCTCTGGTGTTGTTGTTGTTGGTTGTTGTTGATTTATTCTTAAATTTTTCGATAATCGCGTCTCACAGCAGCCCGATGCGCCTGCTCGCCCTGCGGCTGACACGGCGCCCTTGCTCAGTTGCCCCACCAATCCGGTCCTGAGTTCGCATGCGAACCACCGTAGGAGCCGCCATAGGAGCCACCGGGAGCATTTCCACTACCTGTTTATTAAAAATATTTAAAATAAATATTGTCCTTAAAACTCTGCTTAATGAGATATTACGTATATTTAGTTTATAAGATGTTTTGAAATTTTCGGAACAAGAGAAACTATCGCATTTATATTATATAGATCTTGCTAATTTTTTTTTCATCGGTTTGAACTAAATATTTTGGAAATATCTCATTGTGCATTAAATATATGCAGCGCGTTTTTTAGGGGCACTCACCAAACTTACCAAACGAGTTTCCATTGCTGCGATAGTTTCCACCACCGCCGCCGCCGGCTCCACCACTTCCTCCGCCGCCGCCACTGCTGTACGAATTATAAGTAGAGCCGCCACCACCACCAGAGCGACTGACACCTCCACCACCGCCGCCGCTTCGGCCACCACCGCCTGATGACTGGCGGTAATCGCGTGAGCCGAAGCCGCCGCCATAGCGTGCGCCACCGCCGCCGCCGCGTCGCTTGGCGCCACCGTGGCCACGATCAGAAGAGAGCAAATCCTCCAGGAAGTTGGGTATCTCCTGCTTGGTCTCAATAAGCAGCTCCAGCAGATCGGAGCAAATGTTGCGATTTTTCTCGTTGAAGAAGGACGTGGCCACACCCAGGTTGCCCATACGGCCGGTACGACCAATGCGATGCACATATTCCTCGACATCAGAGGGTAAATCGAAATTGATGACATGCTTAACATGTGGAATGTCCAACCCACGTGCAGCCACAGCGGTGGCCACCAAAATGGGGCAATCGCCAGAGCGGAAGCAGCGCAACGCTTCTTCACGCTCCTTTTGTGTGCGATCGCCATGGATGCTGGTCACCGGGTGATTGCACTGATATAGGAATTCCTCCAGCGAGTCGGCGCCCTTCTTGGTCTCCACAAAAATCAATGTTAGACTATCCTTGCTATATTCAGGGCCATCTCGTATCGAGGACAACAAGTCGAGCAGATACGAGCGCTTATCCTGCTCATAGACCCACAATATGGTCTGTGTGATGTTCTCCGATGTCGAGCCTACTCGTCCGACAGCCAAAAATATATAATTGCTGAGAAAATCGGAGGCCAACTCCTGAATCTGTTTAGGGAATGTGGCCGAGAACATGAGCGTCTGGCGTTGTCCAGTGGGTGGCATATTTAGCTGCTCGACTATGCGACGTATTTGCGGTTCAAAACCCATGTCCAACATACGATCGGCCTCGTCGAGCACAAGGAAGCGTATATTCTCCAAGCCCACCTTGCCACGCGTGATCATATCTTCCAAACGGCCCGGTGTGGCCACAATCAAATGGCAACCACGATCCAATTCACGCATTTGTTCGCTAGTGTTGTTGCCGCCGTAAAGCACAGCCGGACGCATACGCGAACGATAGGCGAACTTTTTGGCCTCCTCAAATATTTGGGTGGCCAGTTCACGGGTCGGTGCCAGCACCAGACCGAGCGGATACTGCTTACGGCGACTGTACTGACGATTATTCTGCGGTGGCGGTGAGATGCCGTGCTCGTACATTTGATTCAATATGGGCAGCAGGAATGCTGCTGTCTTGCCAGAACCGGTCTGGGCGCAGGCCATCAAATCGCGACCGCTTATAATGATCGGGATGGCATATTTTTGCACCGGTGTCGGTTTATCATAGCGTGCTAAATTCACGTTGTTGCGTATAATTTCGGTCAGCTGCACGTCATCGAATGATGTAATGTGAGGTGGGACATTCTGGCCCGTCGCCTCCACGGGAATATCCTCGTATTTGTCAAAATTGATGCCGGTATTGCCGACGCCGAAGAGCTCTTGTTCCAAACGTTCGTCGCGTGCTCCCAATTTGGTAAAGTCCACGTTGGTGCCGCCGCCTTCCTTCCAGCGACTGTTGTAGCCGCCACCACCTCCGGCACCACCGCCTCTATTGAAGCTTCTGTTGCCACCACCACCAGCTGGGGCGCCACCATCGGCAGCGCCACCCTCGTATCCGCCGCCTTCCTGTGGACGACGCTCCGGCTCCTGCCAGCGATCGTTGCGTGGCTGCTGTGCCTCTGGCTCACCTTGCTCATTGAGCGCATTTGCGCTGCCTCCAGCGCCAGCGGCACCGCCGCCGCGAAAGGATGGACCGCGTCGATCGTTGTAGCGCTGATTCTGGCCACGTCCACGATTCCAATCGTCGCCGCCGCGACGTGATTCGAATTCACCTGAAAAACCATTGAAAATTTTGGTTAGGAAACGTTTTTACCAAAACTTTGCAAAAATTGAAGGATTTTAAGAAGACAGAGCTTTAATAGGTTTTCTGTAATCAAAATGACGAATGTCAAATACTCAAGAACAATAGAATACAATTTTAAGCCACTAAATATTCGAGGGTCATATTACACGATGGTAAAAAAAAATTTTGGCTACGATGATCTCCTCTCCAAAAATAAGGGCAAATTTCTATATCGGAATGAGGACAATATAAATTCGGTTAGATTCAATACATACCGTTATAATTATCTTCGTAGCGACCGTTGCCGCGACGTCCACCACCTCCACTGCCAAAACTACCGTAATCCCCGCTCTGACGATTAAAGCCGCGATTACCACCGCGATCGCCACCTCTGCGATATTCACCGCCCCGTTGTTGCTGCTGGTCCCTGCTGTCTTGACGCGGAGCGGCTCTGCTGTCAAATGATTGACCTTGCCCCTGATTTTCTATATCAGCGTTGTTATTGCCACCACCACCTCTAAGATGCGGGGGCACATAAACGCCACCGGTGACCGAATTACTGGAAGTCTTGGTTGTTATGGGGCTGCTATAGTTAGCCGTGCCGCCATTCAAGTCCAGACCAGCAACCTGAAAGAAAATAAAATTTACATATGTGAATAATAAGTCTGATATTTTAAAAGCCTACGACCGCAAATTTTCGCTTAAGGGGATTTTATTTATTTTTTTAAAGAAGTATCTAGGAAACAATATAGATATCATATCTGCTTTAAATAAAAGATATTTTTACACAATTCTTTGGAACTGTGCGGAAAGCATGCTCGTGGCGCCTTTTTTCTTCTTTTTTCGGGGAATCCCTGACATGTTTTTATTAAAAGCTGAACCATGTTGAAATTATATATGAAGTATATGTACATACATACATACACAAAATTAATTGATTGCTTTCGATGTACGTTTATACATACAGTATTGTATAGTGAATCTTCAGAGTATCCCTTACTACGGCTATCGGGGTCCCGTTAAAAATGTCAGAGGGAAAGATCAACAAAAACACACACACATTAAAATATAGAAAAACAAAAAAAAAAAAAATTCTAGCCAAGCACGCTTCTCAAGTTCAATGAATTTTGCTCGTCGGCTGCTGCTGGAGACTCACGAAGCATTGTAACAAGTTTTGCGTTGGCAGAAAAAAAAAAACGAAAAAAAGCACTAAGTTAGCTTGCTTTCCTATTGTTGTTGCCGGCCGTCGCTGCCGTTCCGAACGCTCTGCTTAGCAACATGTTGTTCTCTATTTCCATACCCTCTATGCGAAGCCAAGAAAGGTATATTAGGTTTGCGCAAATGTATGTAACAAAGTAAAGTATGTAATGTAAAGTATACATATGCATATGTACATACATACAGAAATTCTTAATCATGTTGAAGAGATCAATTGCAGTTATGACCGTCAACTGTCTGTATTAACTCAAAGATCATCGTGAGTACAAAAGATGGAGTTCGGGAAAGGCAGAGTTTTCAGTTTTTATCATTATGCCACCACCAAATCACCTCGCGCTAAATAAAAATTCCATCATCACTACTATAATCTTAGAATTTCAATCTTAAATTTTTCCAAATAGTTTCTTTAAAAGATAAACAAATTTATACAAAATTAAATATGAAATTATTTAATGAACCCGAATACAGGGTATATAAAGTCGGGCAAGCGTGCGACTCTAGCATTCGAATCGTTTTTCCTATATATGTATGTATGTATATATATGTATAAACAAAGTATGTACAACAAATACGAAGAAGCGCAACTAGTTTGAATCTTTGAAACTTGGTCGCCGCTCGTTGCACAAAGAGAACACAAATACACGCACACAAACGTACGTCATAAATTGGCAGTAAAGTGACACCCACATAGGCAATATTTTTCCCACAACCACATAAGGAATAAAAAAGAAGTTGCGGCCCGAAAATATATTCGCATATGTATGGTAAAAAAAACTTTAAAAAAAATTGTACACGTTTTGATGAGAATGCAAAATAAGAAAATACCTAACTCATCATGTGGAACCTAAAATTCACAAATTATAGTGGAGCAGTGTGCAGTGGAGCAATTTCAAACTCGACAAGTGCTAAATTATTGCTCTGCTTACGCACTTACCAGCAGTTTACAATTAAATTGCAAAAGAAAGTAAATTGACAAATTGTTAAAATGAAATCAACTCAAGGGCAGATTTTAAAAATTGATTCTGACCAGGTTGCCAGAGTGAGTAAATAAATCAGTAATTGTTTCTTTGCATTTAAGATAAATATGTTTGTGTTGCGATGGCAGTAGTGGGGGCGTAATTTGTTTTTGGGTTTTAAAAATATATAAAAACACATAATTTAAAATATTTAACCCGCCACCAGTAAACAGCTGTGTTTAGTAATTTCAAATCTTAAATACCAGTCAAAAGTATTTTGTTCTTCTTCTGTTAAGCTTTAATTTAGACAGAACCGAAAATCTGGAATGCCCTTAATATGAATTTGTACCATATATGTATGTATATGTATCGTATGTATTTTTCGTTTTACATGGCCACCTGGTAACCCTATTTACAATAGTCAGCTTCCACATGCGACAGAATGAGCGAAAAGTGGGAGAGACGAAGACAGTGAGAGAGAAAGACACACACACTCGCTGGTTTAGAATTGCGGCGCTACACACACACACATATGCATGCCAACTTATGTACACATGTCAAATTGGAGGCAAGCAAAAAATTATACAAAAGAAATTACAAATAAGACAGGCAGACTGTCCCACACAGCCGCACATACAACACACACACTTGCACAAGTCACTGTTCGTTGGTGTTTGTGTCGGTGCTGGCCATGCAAAATGTAAAATCGCGGCGCGCCATTGTACTTATGTATGTATGTATGTTGTTATGAAATCAATAAATTTTTAACCGAAGCAGGGACTGCGAATGTCCAATAGCTCTGTCGACCGACCGCATGAGCATCACCACTACGCACACACGCACAAATAAATACATACATATGCACAAATACGCACACAAAGGCACATGCACGCTGATATACATACATATTATACATACATATGTATATCATGCATTACTTTTTCCATCATACATCTCTATGGCCCTCTTTCAACCGCATCCCCCTGTCAACTTACTTGCTGCTCTAGACCTGTTCCATTTTGGTTAATAACATTACTCATATTATCCTCCAATCAGTTGCTTGTTTTTTCTTGCTTTCCGTTTAGGAAAATTTTGCAATTGTTCTTGTTCTTTTTATTTTTCAGAATGCACACACTGGCAATTTGCAACAAAAAATGCGTAATTGGTCTTTTTTCCTTTTTGTGTTTGTGTTGCACTTCGTGTCTATATCTATACGTTTTTCTTTAGATTTTTCCGACAACTTCTTACGTTCCACAAGCTTGCCTTGTTCTTATGTGAAATCAGACAGATCTGTACTTTTTTTCACACAATTTAAAAGTTTGTATTTTGCCCGTATGTAGTTACTGCCACGACAATTACAAGCGGTTTGTAATTGTTTTGCGCTTGATATATTTATTAGTTATTCGTTTTCAGACGCGTGTCCAATCACACAACGGTGAAAAACAATTTCAACTGCACTCAAACTGAGTTTTCCTCACAATGACAAGCCACACGGAAAAATGGTGGACTGCGTGTGAGTCAGAGTCGTGTGCGCTGTGTGTTATCGGTATCGCTTATCGACAATCAACGCTACACTGTGTCGTATTGGTTATTCAGCTGTCCAGTCCAGGGCTGCCAGATCGGTGTGACGGCGGCGGCCGTTAATGTCACTTTAATTTCTGTTCTTGCTCCTCTTCCTTTGTTGATATATGCTTTAAGATAATGGGCGCAGCTCGCTTTTTATGCTGTTAGTTTGTTCATGGAAGAGAAACGTTGCTTTGCAGTTTCAATTTTGTATCAATAAGGCCAAAATTTAGAGTGTTCTATGAGATGTGTAAGATTGTTTAAATTTTTTTTAGGCTCTGTGTGACACTATGAAGCAAAACTCAAAGGCATAAATGCATTTATGAATGTAATTTACAACAGTTAAGGTATTTATATATAGTGTGTGTACATAGAGTAAATACATGTCACATGTACTTATATATGGGTGTATATATAGAATAAATGCTTTTGGTATTGGCTTTAGCAAGATTATATGGATTCTGATTTCTGGAATGTAACTGCAAATACTTCAACAATAAATACAAGAGTATATAGTTATACAATCGCTGTGTGTAAATATATATGTATATATATAACGTCCACTGGTCCTCAGCTAGTTCTTTGAAATTACTAATCATAATCAATTTTAACCCTTCAGCAGACAACGCGTGTAAAACTCACGATCGATGGCATCATTTGGTATATAGGAGCTCCATTTGAATATAAGTGCGAGTATATCTGTTGCAGTCAGATAATCCAATGCAATGTTGAGAAAACAGTTCCATGTGTAGAAGAAATGACGCGTCATTTGCTCCATATTGCTAACACACTCACAATTGACGCACATAACCCGACCGCGCTGCAGCTCCACGAATTGCTCAAAACATCGCGCCCAGCCGCCCACTTGAAAATGTCGGCCTACTTCCAATAATAGTTCAGGCTGTCCGTAATTCAGCACAATCGGCAATACCTTTTCCAGATTGTGCTCTGCCAAATAGAATTTAGCCAGAACATCCAGCAGAGCGGGCACAGCGGATAGAACGTCGAAGCATTTTAGCTGCTCGTTCCGTGACCAGAAATAACGAAGGAGCACTGCACCCAAATCATGATATAGACACGTGTTGTCAAATCTCATTGGAAATTCACAATTCTGACAGCGCACAATGTCCGCTCCTTCGTTCAGCAACACAAAGCCATTGGCTATATAGTCCCTTGTGGCATCATCGACTTCCCATATAAGCTCAGAATTAAAATAGTCAAAGTACATCTCATAGCAATTTCGTTGGGCTTGCTCCTTGCTGTCGCCATGCTCCATCATCACTTTGGCGAGCTTGTCTAGCAATGCTATCAGCTCATTGGCCGCGTACTGGTCAAAGACATCGCGATAGCGTTCAACGCAGCGCATATTGCTGAACTTCGTGCTCTTGTAAATCAAATAGAGATTATATATGGTCTTTTGCTCTGGACTTATGTGTGGTGCAGAGAGCGGTGGGGCCCGTTTTGAGGTGCGCACCACAATTTCCTCATCCTCATCGGGGCCAGATTCGAGTTCGTAACGTGCCTTAACGTCCTTGAAGGGCAACGAACGTTCGCTGGCCGGTATAAGTTCGCGGACCAGTTGCTGTTGCTCGTCTGCGAAAATGTTGAATTTGTATTTTATGATATTTTTGCCAAATTTGCCCGTGACCGTCAGTAGCGCGTCCTTAAAGTGTCCGGATTTGGGTGCCTGTTTCAAATTATCGCAAAACGCATTCTCCAGCACATAGACGCCTTTGGGTGGTGCAGGTGGTGGTGGGGCTACTGCTGGACAACAAACAACACCAACGCCACTGCCACTGCGCTCGGTAGTTGCCGAGCTTCCTCCCGAGCTCTGCGTATCTCCAGCACTACCTGTACACTGAGAGATGGCATCAAAGATTACGGATATATCGTTGAGCAGCTCATATTCTTGGCGCTCGATGAGTAATTGCTTCAGCTGATTCAGGACTTTAAGCTCATAATTCTCACGTGCCTTGTCCGCAAAGTACTTGACATGCTTACGCATGAGAAGGGCGCATTCGAGTAGCTTGGACTGTTGAACGAGATGGCAGGCGTGCGCTTGAAGTGTCTGCAATTGGACGCTATAGAGCGATCCTGTCTGAGTGAAGACAAATATATTCGAGCCGGCAATACGGCAGTCCACAATGCGTTCGAACTGATTGCACCAGAGAACGACACGGGAGTTGCGTACATCGAATATGTAGAGACCAAGTTCTGTGAATGCCAACAAAAAGTCCTGCAAAAAGCGCTGCACTTTGCCAAATTGTAGATGCTGCGGCTGATAGTCCAACACCTCATCATTCTGCTCATCTGTGTCCGCGTCTGCATCACTGTTGCTACTGGGCTTGTGGATTTTGGTCGGCGGTGTGGCCAATGAGGATTTAAATTGATGCGTTTGCAGCACTTCTCCCTCAAAGTCCACCTCCCAGATGCGTGTGCCTGGTCGAGCGCAATAGATGCGAGAGGGCTGCACAGATTCGTGAGGAGACATGAAGAAGCAGGCGCCATAGGCGCCATCACGTGGACGGTTGCCAATCTTTAAATTGAAAATTGGTTTCGTAAAAGACTGTAATCAACACTTGTAAGTGTGTCTCACCTGTTTGTACTCCTCATACTCTGTATTACAGAGTATACATTTGCTGCAGTTGGATACTAGCAGTAGCGTCTCAAAGTCATCGATTTGCACAATAGGGGACTCCAGAAACAGCAAGGGATGCACACTCATATTCAGTAGCAAACTGTGGCCAATGAACGAGGAGAGCAACACCAGATTCACTTGTCCGCGTGTGTCACCATAATAGAACTGTTTCTCATCCTGCGTCCAATGGATGCAGCTTACTTGGACCGATTGATCGCTGCTCAAGTGCGTGACAATCACCTGCGGCGAGATCTGGGCTGACAGATTTACTGCATAGACACAAATGAGCGAACGTTGCGTTGCAAATGCTACATATTTCTCGTTTGAAGAAATGGCCAAATGGCTGATACTGCCATGTTTGTTGGGTATGAGGTGCAGGAATTTCCCCACGCGATTAAACAAATAAAGCGATCCGGACGTGGCTCCAAATATAATGAAATTTTCCGATATGTCGAAGCAGGTGTACTAGATGCGTTACAAGATATTGTGAAATTAAATATGCAAGGCGTATTCGACATTACAACAACTTACCTTAATACGATTGTGTTTCAGGGGCTGGTGGAGCGCCGAATAATCAATAAAGTTAGCCAGGCAATAGGCATCGGCCATGTTGTAGCTTTTCCGTTTGCAGAAGATAGACGGCAAATAATTCTAAAATTCCCCGCACTTTTACATGTTTAAATGAACAATAAATATAAAGAGATTTTGTTTTATTAAGACTATTTATTTTTTTCGTGATTGCATTGCAGTGTTTGCTGCTGCAGATGTTTACAGATGTTTGCAGGTGGAGTGTTGGTAATCGCCTTCAGCTGCAGATTATTATCAGAAATAATCGTTGCTATCAGTGCTTTTCTCACTTTTTTCTTTAAATTTAGTACACACCGAAAAGAAAAAACAGGCGAAGAATAATAGTGTTTTTTTTATTCAGTTGATAGAGCGACCATTTTAAAAAAATGAACAATTAAATTAGAATTCCGGAAAAGCGCTAAAACTTAAAGCATCACAGCATCTGAATAGTTACATGTCAAAAACCCGTGATCAATCAAAATCAGTTGTGTACATTTATATATGAAGAAAGTTGAGATTTTCGATTGTTTTGGTGATACACATATTTATTTATTACTGCCTAGTTGCACATTACTAAATTTATTCCGATATATTGTATAGTTTTTCTGACTTACCCTAACTGCAAAATAATTGCATATTGAAATCATAGCAATCAAATAATTTCTTATTTCATTATCAAATAATTTCGTATATCGTGAGTGGCAGAAAGAAAATAGCTAAAATTGGTTTCTGTGCGTGGTTGATCTCGCAATGTTGATTTATATGCAGGAACTCCCTTTAAAGAAAATCATGGCTATGCTGTTATTAACAGTATAATATATAGTTTAATAGTAAAATGCATGGAAAGATAGGGAATAACGTGATCCGACACCACATAACAAAGCAGCCAAAATTCGAATAACGACATTTAGGGAGATTCACGAGTCAGAGTGCGTGACACTGGCAAGCAGTCCCTGATAACTTAGGGCAATCGGGAAATTAATGCGTCGCATGAATAATCGATATTCCGATGCATCGGTGTTTTACTTACACCACTAAAATTTTTCGTTATTTATGTAAAAACAGGATCGAAATGTGTACGCCGCAGTTTAACAATTAGTTGAGTTCTACACTCAAATAAACACATAACGGTCTGCGAGCCACCAAGGGGTGGGTTATTGTTTTCGATTTTCGGTGCATTCGTGCGAAAATAATTCCGGCCTAGAGCGGCTGCTGCTGCTGTTGTTGTTACTGTTGTGTGCGACGTGGGCGCGCCCACTGAAAAAATCCAACTGACGGACGTCCTTTGGCAATAGTAATAGCATCAATACTCAGGGGGTACCAAACGAAAAACGGACACAATGGCCGAGAGACCGAAAAATTTGTTTGCAAGTGAGTAATGCCAAAAAAAAAACTACCCACGCATACACAACACGCACACACACACATATATATATATATACACATATACTGGTACTGACGCACGCTAGTTGGGACATTAGGTTGTGATAACGAACGTAAATACATAAATTACTTTACACACTGCACTTATCTTTCAACACAGCTGGACCCAGCCGCGCGCGAGACCCACCTGATCAGCTAAATTTTAACAATCTAACCATACGTCATCCGCCCTCGTCTACATCCTCAACATCGTCAGGTTCCACATCGTCAGGCTCAAGTTCCTCATCGCAACACAACAATGTGGCGTTGCGTTTCGGCCAACCGACGCTACCGGCGCCGCCAGTTTCTCAAAGTAGTGGCAACTCAACTGCCACGGATAGGCACCGGGAGCGCATACGTCAGCAGGCCTGCGGAAAACTTCAGTTTGGGGAAGGAGCCGCCAATACACATCATTTTACATCGGATGATCTCGAAGACTTGGGTGAGATTGGACGCGGCGCTTTCGGTGCTGTGAATAAAATGATATTCAAGGATTTGGGAAAAGTCATGGCAGTAAAGCGAATACGCTCCACCGTAGACGAGAAGGAACAGAAACAGCTGCTCATGGATCTCGAAGTGGTTATGAAGTCGAATGAATGCAACTACATTGTGCAGTTCTACGGTGCACTGTTCAAGGAAGGCGACTGCTGGATATGTATGGAGCTGATGGACACATCGCTGGACAAGTTCTACAAATATATATATGAGAAGAAACAACGGCACATACCAGAATCCATACTGGCCAAGATCACAGTGGCCACGGTGAATGCGTTAAACTATCTTAAGGAGAAGCTTAAGATCATCCATCGTGACGTGAAGCCAAGCAATATTCTGTTGCATCGGCGCGGTGACATAAAGCTTTGTGATTTCGGCATTTCGGGCCAGCTGGTCGACTCGATTGCCAAAACCAAAGACGCGGGTTGCAGGCCTTATATGGCGGTGAGTTCAAGTTGTAAAGAAGGCAATTAAGACGACTCTATAAAAAATACTTTTCTTGCAGCCGGAACGTATCGATCCGGAGCGTGCCAAGGGCTATGACGTGCGCAGCGATGTTTGGTCTTTAGGTATCACCCTAATGGAGGTGGCTACGGGCACATTTCCCTATCGCAAATGGGACTCGGTGTTTGAGCAGTTGTGTCAGGTATGTAAAAGATAAATACAAACCTAATTCTTTCTAAGAATCTATCCATCTGTTTCGTATCTAGGTTGTGCAAGGTGAACCGCCACGTCTGCAGACATCCTACAATGGCATGGAGTTCTCCAAGGAATTTGTTGATTTTGTGAATACTTGGTAATTACATTAACAGAAAACACATATACATTTTTATAATTAGATAACCAAATTACTTCCTTTATTCCGAGATAAGATTTCCTCAGTTTTATAGCGAAAGTCACAAGATCTGATTGTAAATTCTATTGTAATGTCCCCATTACACAACCTAATACTTTATCTCCTGTTCTTTTGGCATCATATGACAATCTATATTATTTATTAGAATATTTATCTTGTTTATTATTTGATTCGTCATTTCCTGTCACCATTTTATGCGGTTTTTAGTCGAATTGGTTCAAATTTTCTTCGAATCTCTTATATGTGAAATGTAAAATCATGAATAATTAAATTATTTTTTAAATTTTCATGACAAAAGTTTAATTGGAAGCAAATTTTACCCGAACATTTTTCAATATGTTTAAAAATAACGTCGTATATTTAACTTTGACAAGATTTTAAAATTTGTCATACATGTTAAAGGGTGGCAAGGAGAGATTATTCGGAAGATAAATTAAATTAGTCTCTAAAAAATTCTTTACTTACTCGAAAGCGTAAATCAAATTGTTTATAATTGTAAATTGCCTTATCTTTGACAGTCTCATTAAGAAGGAGAGCGACCGTCCGAAGTACAGCCGTCTGCTCGAGATGCCATTCATACAGCGCGGGGAGAACAGTCACACCGATGTTGCAGTTTATGTCACCGATGTGCTGGAATCGATGGAGAAGGACGGCATAACGCAGTTCACGGCAAATCAGCCGGCAGAGAGTTAATCAACTAAATCGATGAAACTGAAGCAAGTCATAAATTAAACTAAGCTAAATGCGTTAAGCAAACCCAAAAGCAAACTAAGCGTAAAGTTGTACGAGTATGTGTAGTGCATAGATAAAAGCAAAACATAAATTGTTGTCTACTTTGTAGCATTGTAGTGAACGTAGTGCGTATTTTGTTAAAACAAGAAACCATACAAAAAATTGTGTAAAGTTTTATATACATACATATATAAATATAAAAAAGAAGCAGAGGAAATTATTTAATTTTTTAGCTGCAAAGAAAAAACAATGTGAAACTGTAAGTTTTGTGCATCATCAAAATGTGAAACCTGAAAAGCAAAATTCCGATATTGTTTGTAAAAAGAAAGTTTTTGTTTAGGAAAAGTTAAGATGAGCAAGTAGCAAGGAGCGGGAGAAAGAGAGTTGTAGACATCAAAACATAATACCTTCCTAAGTTAGTCAGTTAGCATTTTAAATTTGATTTTTATAATTGTTACAAATACCGGAGTACAGACACATGTACTGTTGCTCTACAAAAGAACATAAAAAAGGAGAAAAAAATACATAATGCATTTTCAGTAAGCAACGCCAACAGTAAAAACAAAGCAATATTTTCAATACTTTTTGAATATGTTTTTGACATTTTTTAAAATATAAAATAATACAACATAGACAAAATGCCTACACAATTTTAAACTGGCATGGAATGTTAACTAAAAACACCAATTAAGCAAATAGTCTTAAATAAAGCAAAGCAAGCAACAAGCTTCACTTACTTTATTATTATTTTATTATTAAAATAAAATTTATGTATTTTTTTATACCTTTTCTTTGCCTAAATGATAGTGAAAAGCTTTAACACATGCCAAGTAGCGTGCATGTGCCCAAAATTTTTAAGTGCGCTGCATTTCTTACTTTTATTTTTGTATAAATTGTAGTAGAATTATGCTATTAAACATAATATACATAAACAATTTTTAACATGTAACTGAAATTATTAGACACCACACACACACTCACACACACGCAAATACGCACGTTTTTAATGCGTAGAAACTAGATTTAAAAAAAATTACAAATTATTTAGTAAAAATGCATAAGTTAAAAAATAAAACAAAAATTAAAAACTAAACACATACAACATACAAACATGCAAAGTGAATGTGGTATGAAAAAAGCAAAAATAAATGTATTGTGCCTAAGTATAAACAAAATATTTTAAACAAATCAATCAATTACATTTTTTAGTCATAATAATAAGTAATATAATATAAAAAAATTACGTAAATAAATTCGAGGCCCGAAATTGTTAGTGGCAGCTTAAACTAAGCGTCAACATTTTTTGTTTAAAGCCCAACCATATACCCACACCTTTCAAAAGACAAACACACACACCTGTCTAAAAACTCACACACCTGCCTAAAAATACATAAACACAGACACTGCGATGTATTTCCACACCGTCTGAGCAACCAAGCCATGCCAATTTTTTATTCTTTTTTGAAAATATTTATGCAAGCGCATATGTGAGAAAGCAAAGTTTATTTTATATATACTCTATATATATATATATATGTATATGAATGTTTAAAGAACAAAATCAGCTAAAACCACGCAGCGTCCACTTTTTGCAACAAGAAAAACCAAGATCTACTAAAATTTTAATGCAATGCAGTTCATCTGAAGACATTTTTATGATTGCTATGATTTTTGTTTATTTTGCCGAGCGTCAATGTGAAATTTAGTAAATAAGCTAAATAAATTGCAAATAATGAAGGAAATATTTTTCTAATAAGCATTAAAAACAAAAACTTAAACATAAAATCATTTCCAAATGTAAACTTTCTAACAATTAAACAAATGTCATTCAAACTATGCAAAAAAGTTGTTTAAAAAAAAAAAAACAAAAAACAAAATACATACAGCAATCAGAATTTTATATGACAAACATGTAATTATAATACTAAAAACGCTAAATATTATTCGGAAGCGTATAATATTGTACAACTAAATGGAAATGGAAGGCAATGCAATCGTTGAGTGCGTCAGTCGTCAATATTTTTTCGACAATAAAAGGTGTATGTGTAATTTTTTAAAAACTGAGAAGTGCTTAGGAGATACATACGAGTACATGTATGTTGAGTATAAAGGCTATTGCTAAACTACAGATATTCAAGCAAATACTATATAGTATCAGAAATCAAATAAAATATGAACATTCGCATAACGTAGTTAAAACGAGCGTATTAATTAAATATTCGCCCAAATAAGTAAAAACACCAATCCTCTCTACTAATTGACTTCCACTGTTGCACATTTGAAATGATTTACGAAATTTTCGATCGCCTTTTTAATCCAAAAAGTCAATAAATACGCGTATTTTGAAACAACTACAACTAACCAAAGTGTTACAACTACGTCCAGCCCAGGTTTGCCATTGCATGTAAGAGCTGTTTGTGAAGCTGTTTTTGGAAACCCGGGCATATTTGCAAGCTTTTAACAATAGCATAAAATCCGAATCCGAATCGTCGTGATTAACTACAGGGTGCGATTTGTATATCAAGGCTAGCGTGGACTTTTTGCTGTCTACACAGATCAGCCCAAATATACAATATACGAGTATAGTATATATATATAGCACTAGCGCATAACTTTAAACAAGCAAACTAAGTAGCTATACAAATTATCCGGCTTCTATTTCTCAACTCTAATAAATAAAACGATAAAGTGCATAAACTAACTAAATATAATAAAGGAAACATCACAAAGAACAAGAAAAAACAAAACCTATTAAAAAATAAACGGCAAAAGACAAGAAAAGCTAACTTATAAAGATAATAATAAAGATATATACTGTTAAACAATTGAATAAAATTGTAAAAAGAAACACAAAAAAAAAAGGAATAGCGAATAAAACCTACAATGAAAAGCAATTTTTTCGTACTATTTATTTTCGAGTAATAAACTAATATTAGGGTTTTTATATATTTCGCAAATACGTATACTATATTTTTATGAAAAATATCTTTTAATAACAAATTACTCCGCAGTGGGATCGGCTATGGTGTTGGCCATGAATCGTAAACTAGTGCAGATACGAATCTCCTTGGTTGGAGCGTCCCACCTAAGGAGTTTTTACTTTAAATTTTACTTTTAACAGAGAGACAGACTACTGCTTAATTTTTCATTTTTAAAGGTACATCCATGCTGCTACATATTGCAATGAAAATAAAAGAGAATTGAAATGGATATTTTCATCTACATCCAAAATAAGTATTTGAATACAAATCACTCTTCAGTTAGTGTCTGATTTACAATAAAAAGTTGAAAAAGTTCGAGAGCTTTAGCAATGGTGGGCATAAGGAAAAAGAACCTTTCACTTACACACTAAATAAAGTTTTCTAGTCCAAGAGTTTGCGGATTTTAGAGACGAAATACTAAAAAGTAGATTTGAATCTGATGGGGGAATTCTCTAGGGGTACGAATTAAAATCAAAGAACATCGGCATTTTATTAATAAATATATTTTATTTAATGAATTCATTGAAATGAAAAAAATAATTTTTTTTATTTATTTATTTTCTTTAGCTATTTTGTATTTTGTTAGGGCCACAAACTTCTAAAAAAAGAAGAAACAATCGAATTTCCACCAAGAACAAACAAATCTTTAGCATTTCTTTTAGCTTACTGAGTCACAACGTTTTTCGCTCGCCCCCACAAACACCTGAAATGTGAGTTTAAATATTTTATTGACTTAAGTCGTTTATGCTTGTACATTTTTCCTAAAGCATGAGTTTATTTCCGATTAAAGTGTTGAGCAATGCAGCCATTTAACGAATAAAGGCAATGAAATACATGAGTATTGACCATATTTAATATTTTGGTCTGGGTAGCTATGCGACAGCGACCTTACACCGCACAAACAATACAACGTACGCACATATGAGTATTTATATCAGATAAATCCACACACAACTTGACACTGGGCCGACAATTAAATAAACAAACATTGATTGAACATACATAGGCCTAGTATCGCACTTACCTGCATGTTGTGGGCGATATGTGTATTTTCTGGTGCTGGCTGGTTGTCTGACTGGCTCACTGACTGGCCCTCTACTCGTATTTGTCTATTGCATGGGCATTGTTGACTTACTGCCATAATTTGGATGGGTACGCAGTCGGCATGGGAATGCGACCCATTAGCATTGGGACGTGAGGCGCCTGCAAAGAGTCGCATTTGCGGTCCACAAATGCGTAATTAGCTCTCCGTCTTTTCGATGGCTATACAAAACTCAATGAATTTGCAGTAGCAGGTGGTATGGATCCGAGTTTCGGGGTCTCAGTATTAGTCGGAACGCTGCGCGTAAAGCATTTCTCCGTTGCGCTTGCCGGGTGGCGGGACCCCAAACGAAAATCAAGTTCAACGACATGTTGGCGCTCATTGTATTAACCAGCTGGCTGCTATTGTTATGGCTCTATTTTCTCTGGACACGTCGGCGTTATTATAAAGCCGCCTGGCAATTGCGTGGACCCATTGGGCTGCCGTTCATTGGCATGGGACCGCAGATGATGAATCCTGAGAGTAAGATGACTTGTAGAGTCTATAGAGGCGAAGATTTGAGTAATTTTTGCACAGCTTTTTTGCAGTACTTGGAACGCACCTCATATAAGTACAAAGCGCCATTTATATCTTGGATGGGAACAAAGTGTTTTCTTTACATAAACGATCCACAGTCTGTGGAAACGATTTTTAATTCATCCCACTGTACAAACAAGGGAGATTTCTATCGCTTCATGAGCTCCGCCATTGGCGATGGACTCTTTACATCGAGCTGTAAGCGACACTCGAAAGACAAATTGGCAGCTTTATCTCAAGATCTTTATTTCCTCAAAAGCACCACGTTGGCACAAACATCGACGTCTCATCAATCCCGCCTTCAGTCGTCAGATTTTGTGCAACTTTTTGCCAATTTTCAATGCTGAAGCGGATGTTTTGCTCGACAAACTACAAACGGAGGGTGTAGAGCAGGGCAAGCATCTGGAGATCTATCAGATATTGAAGAAAATTGTGCTGGAGGCAGCTTGTCGTAAGTTGAAGAAAGATTAAATAAGTAGCTTAATAAGACTTGAAAAATGAATGACAGATTTACAATTTAGAAAGTTTTAAGCTTAACACTTTGCGGCTTCATTTGCAGAAACAACTATGGGCAAGAAAATGAATTTTCAGCATGACGGTTCAACGGCAATCTTTGAGGCCTACAATGGGTAAGTGTGGTCGTCAAGATTAATATTTTTATATACACGTACTTGTATATCTCTGTTGTTACTTTAAAAAATCGAAGCCAATTATTTTTTCATTCTACGTTGGGGAACATTTGTAAACTATAGAATAAAGGTTATTAAAATAATATTAAAACAAACTGAGCAGTTGGTGTAAAGGTTTTACTTTTGTGTTGTTGCAAATTATTTTAAATGTTGACCAAATTTTTCTGAATGAATTTATGAATTAAAATTTTGTAGCCATCTTTATTCAAATACATCATTTGTTCTATTTAATATTTCCTCTTTTACGCATTTATTGACGTAGTTTTTGCAATGAACTCATTGGCATTTGGCTAAAAAAAATGTACGTGTCTTGAATATTTCGGTACTATTTAAAAAAATAATATTCATTCATCCCATCTATCAGATCAGGTACTATATGTGAATGTATATATGTATGTACATATGTATTTTCAATGTAGCCGACAGCTGGCTGTTTTGAATGCAAGTCACAAGCCATTTTTGTTATCTATTCTCGATTTTCACTTCAGGCATAGAAGAAAGGAAGAAACAAACAGCCACGTCAGGAGTAGCACTCACTTTGTCTTACCTATTAGCTAATTACAATCTTGCAGCTTTTCTGCCCACTGAGTCATGGCTAATGCATTGCGACAAGCGTTCGCAGTGTGTGTGTGTGTGGGTGTGTGTGTGGTGGTGGTGGAGCATGCAAATTCCCAGGACTACGGCACCAGACCAGCTCAGTGGCGAATGTTCCTTTCCCTCCCACTGAATTGTTTGCTGAGTGTTTGCTACCATTTCCTTCCTTTTTCAACTACATCTTCCTTTCTTCTTGTTTAAAATTTTGCTCCCGCCTCGTCCTTAGCATCACTGAGGTCTGCGTGAAGCGCATGCTGTCGCCATGGCTTTATCCTGACGCTCTGTATCGACGCTCGCGGCTCTTTGTGCGACAACAAAAGGTGGTCGGCGTGCTCTTTGGTTTCGTGGAACAAGTAAGTGGTGCAAGCATTCATCCTTGTTCTCCTTTTACAGACACTGGCGTATCATTTTAATGGTACTGGGTACTGGTTTCCCATCTACAAGTGTAAATATATATTTTAAAAAAATAATCAAAAGTAATGCAGTTTTTGAAAGTGCAAACATTGCAAAGGGAAATAGTTTTAAAAATATGATAGTGTAGATAATTGCAGAGTGAAGAAATTTTGACCTATTTAAAAAGAAGGCCATCTAGAAATTTGCTCTTCGTTTAGATTTTGATCTGTTTCTCATTTATTTTATTTAATTTAATTTAATTTTAAATTTAGAATACTATCGAGAATGTATTCTCAAAATGTCTAATATAGATTTTGGAGTCAATTGGATATTTCGACTCAAAATTCGAAATAACTTGGCACTTTAATCCATTTATGTAATATTCCTCAGCTTTTATTATAATTCTAAGCTCTATTTAGAATTTAAAAAAAGCTGAGGAATATTATACAAATGGATTAAAGTGAAGCGCTATTTGAAAATTATGGAATATATTTTTATCCTTTGCGTAAAGGAGTCTTTATTTATCAGTTATGCTAAACGTTTTTAATAAAATTCCTTTTCTATGGTAAGTAATGAACACTTGTGAGTATATTTAAGTTATCGCTGGTGTACGAATTTTTTACACTCTCACCATGTTGTACACTTCCTTTCAGCTACTGGAGTTGGGAGGCGTCGTGGCAAGTCAAACAACTTCGACACAATTGCAGTCGGTGGGTGTGGCTGAACAGCTGCAGCCCCAGTCCGAAACAGATGTCAATGACGAGGACATGGAAGCGCACATGTCGCGCAAGTCAAAGTCCATTTTCATCGAGCAAGTGCGGGAGCATGTGGAGCGGGGACAGCTCAGTTGGCAGGATGTGCGCGACGAGGCAAATGTGACCATTGCAGCGGTACGTAAAAAAAACTTGTAACTATATTCTCGGCAGATAGTAGAAAGTCGAGGAATATGTGATTAAAATGTGATAAAAACAAATACACTCAGAAAACATATGTTCTCAAGTCTGTCCGAAAGGCATCTTAAAATGTAGAAAAGGGTTATGTCTACTTTCTTTATGAAAGTAATAAGCAATAATAGAAACTAATATTTAAATATTTAAGAATGTATTTTCTTGATATTAGAACTTTCACTGTAACAGATTTAAAAAATTAAATTTAATAGCAGCTGATGAATTTTAAATTTGAAAAAAATTATGAGACAGTCGAATAGCTTCAATTTCCATACATTTTAAATTCTACAAGTTGTATCAATTTTAGAAAATTTGTTTTGTGTTAGAAACAAATTTATATAATCTGGGAATTAATCTGTGAATGAATAGCAAAATTCATATTTTTCATTTAATGTTAACATTCAATTTTATTGAAGAATTTAAAACAGGACGTATTTTGTTAAATCCTTTTATAAACATCGCAATAATACAAGTTGTTAACTATTCCTCGGGTTTTTAAAATAAATGCCTGCTAAAAATGTTAGAATGCAAAAATGTATGTAATTAAAATTACTTTTAGAATTTGGCCTAACATCTGACTCATTTTATTTTGAAGATTTTTTCAATTAAAAATTTTGTAATAGAGCAGAAAAATAATCAAAAATATTTAGCTTCCACGAGTCTATTGAATAGTGTTAAAAGATTTAAATATTAGTGAACATATTACGAGAAAACAATTTATTTAAATACGCAATTTGTATTAAAATAATTACCATTAACTAATTATAAGTTCTGTTGCATCTTATTCAAGCATTTCATTACTTAAAGGAGACAAACTTCTATACATTTTTTAGACATTTGAGACCACCTCGACGGCGCTGTACTTTGCGATTCTCTGTCTGGCCATGCATCCGGAGTTTCAGGATAAATTGCACAACGAACTGGTCACGCTGCTGCCCAGCAATGGACACATCACGCAGGAGCAGCTAGAACGGCTCAGCTACACGGAAATGGTAATCAACGAGGCAATGCGACTGTTTGCTCCGGTGCCGATGGTGTTGCGTCGTGCCGGTCAGGATATCCGATTAAGACGGGAGGATGGGGAGTACGAGGTGCCACGTGGCGTACAGATCGGCATCGACATCTACAACATGCAACGTGATGTGCGCATTTGGGGGCCCTTGGCACGCACATACAATCCGGATGCACATTTCGGGCCACAGGCACCGGCCCATCATCCCTTCGCCTTTGTGCCCTTCACCAAGGGCCTACGAATGTGCATTGGCTATCGGTATGCGCTGCTGCTAATGAAATTGCTGCTGGCCAAAATATTCCGACAGTATCGCATCAGCACCGAGGCGCGCATGGAGGAGCTAATTGTGAAGGGCACCATATCGTTGAAGTTGCGAAATTATCCGCTATGCCGTGTAGAAGCCAGATAGCCAAGAGCCTCTGTGCTTTATTGAAATAAAACATGCGAATTTGCCGACAACCAAGATACATCTCGAATTCACTTTTCTGGCCAGTCTCTCACGGAATGTGTGAGCAATTGGGCTCGAAATTATTGGATAGCTGCACGTTTTTCCGTGCTCTTCCTTAGATAGTTGGCAGATGGAACTTTTAATTACACTGTTAATTGCTTGTGTCATGCACTGAACTCACAAAATAGCTTAAATTTTAAAGCTTAAATTAATTTAGAACTCTCATTTATAATTTTGGAAATACGTTTTACAGCTTTTGAGTGGGATGAGCTTCTAGAAACCATTAAGAAATTGGTTTATAAAAATCAAATGGAGTTTTCAAATTTGGCTTTTACAGTTGCGTGCTGATGTTGTACGAAATTCATTTCTATCATTTGTTATGCAGGCGATTTCTATATCTAAGATTGATAAAATATCTTGCCTAAAATATAGCTTCAGCTCTGGCAATAAACAAATAAATATCTTTTTACAAATTAATTCGAATAAAAAGAAATCTGTTTACAGTGAATAACAACTAATGTTCTTGAAATAAAATTAAACTCTTCTAAAATCGACTTACCTAATCTAAAAATATTTATATATTTGAAAGGTTATTTATACTTATATTTTAAAAGGGCAATTGAAACTAATATAGGTATCAGTATAATTATTTTTAATAGTAGAAGCTCGTATGAAAAGTCACTGCCAACTTATAATGTCTTTTGTGCCCCAATTTCAAAAGATATGAGAAATGAGGGAAAAAATTGCATTGTGCTTAAAGAGATTAATAGATCAGTGATAAAAGATATTAAAAAGGATTTAAAAAGGAATGAAGTAAAAAAGTTTAAATTAGCCATGTTGGTACAGAAAAAAATATTATCTTGACCTTATTATGAATGTTAGCTTTTGAGAAATCAGTATGAATTCTCTAGCTTTAATTCAATTTCTTAAGTACTCCTTAATCTGCCCTCGCCCATATGTTGTACAGTCAGCAGTTTATTTTGAATTTCACTTGAGCTGCTGTGTTATCAGCTTACACCACTGTGATACCTCGACAGCACCCGAGTGCCACTTCTAATTTTCCAATTAAAAATGTCATTTTTGTAGAATTTTCTTCTAGAAAATTGAATTTGCGCAAACTTGCGCAATAATTTACTTTGCCAGAGTGTTGCGCAAGCTGCCGTTCTTATCTGCTTTCACCTGCTCGCCTCTTGGGGACTCTGGGACACAAACTGGTAGCTGGAAAATGGTACTAAATGGTGTGGGAGCTTTTACTTTTCTCCCTAATACTGCAACAACTTGCTGCTTCTCAATGTGCCCGCTGTGCCCATTGCGTATACGTAATTGATTGAATTGCAAATGCAACAAACTGCCAAAGTGGTAAAACGCTTGGGACATTGAAAGTGGCAGCAAGTATGCACAAATTGCTCATCTTTGTTTACCTGTAAGTGAAACGGCAGAGACCTCTTTGGAGCCATGGCCCCGAGTCTCACACTCCACTGCATATTAATCAATGGGGCTGTCAGAAAGTTGTCGTTATCGATGTCTCGAGGCGTTTGCCTTGCAACCAATTTGACACAATTATGGTTTCTTTGAATTCGACTCAACGCATTTCAATTTCAATTTTATATTACATATCATTATAACGCACGAGTATAGTATTTCTTTCATGTGCACGGAAAAGTCGGACAGCTAGACAGACGGAGACAGTGAAGTTGAATACACGCTGACTGCTGTAAATGAATAAATTGCCGTTTTTGAATGCGATTCCTCAATTGGGGTACCCATCAGCCCCTCAACAGCTCATCCCCTTCAGACATCGTTCAGTCACAGACGTTCGCTATGCCAATGCAGCTGAAGAAATTTGAGAACTACAAGTATGTACTTAATTGTAAGAATCTTAAGTGCTTAAATAAATATCACATACGAAAGTGATAGCCTTTTGCACAACACAATTATATTTAAGTTTACCATAAATTTAACTGTAACTGAAAAATAAATTTAATGTCAATGTGAATCTATAGTTAGAAATGAATAGCTGTTGACCTAATTTATTAAATAAGGATATTATTTAAATTAGCTGTTGACCATTAAATAAATATGCCAGTATTCGACTTGAGCGCCGTCATTGAACATTTTCTTACAACTGAATTTATGGACACTTAGAAAATAACACAATTTTTAGTGTATCTCTATATGCTTACTAAATAGCCTTAAATTAAAGACGCTTACTAAGCTCTTATTTTAAAATGTTTTCTAACAAATTAATAGTAATATCATATATTGATATTTAATTTTTAGTTTTCTTTTTGTAGCATTTGTAATTATATAAAGGAACTTTTCATAAATTCAAGCAAAATTTAATACTTTCTTATAAATATAAATATATTTTTTAATGCTTAATAATAGTAATTTAATGATTTTCACTGCAAATTGAATATTTTGAGAGTAGTATTTCTATTTATTGTAGTTATATTATCAGAATTTATAGCTTATAATTTGTACGTTTTTTTATAAGTTCTTTATTTAAATATTACTGTGCTTATATAATTTGTGTCGAAGGTGTTAAGTAGAATTCGTGGAACTCATATATTATATCACATATTTCATTTTACTCGCGATTACTCCCGATTTAAATAAATTTAAAACTTTTTATTTTTGTAGAAACTTTAGGATACGAAGTATAAACCATAAATAGAATACTTATAACGGGCATGCAAAGATAAAACGTATGGATTTAAAATTTAACACAAATTATACAATTTTTGCAGAAGTTTTCAAAAATGTCTTTGCATGATTTCTGGACAAAAAAGAGAGTTTGGGCAAGTGAAAATTATGACGCTTGAATACCTGCTGTTTTTTAGAGAAGACTGTTCATATCATTCATTCATATCATGCAAGGCTCAGTAAAAGCACTCCCCTTTAAAAATGCAACTAATATTCTTAAAGATTCAATTTGCAATTCCATAGATTTTGCTAATAGTTTCAACACATACGACTGTCAATATAAAATGATGAGAGAATCGTTTTTAATCTATTGGATTTGGTTCTTAGCCCACTGTGTGTGGTCGCCTGCGTTGCTGCTGTGCAACGAAATATGCATAATTTAATGCTCTTGGCTGTTAACTCATTGCTCTTGGCTTCCCCACTTGCACTAACTTGCATTAAAAGCCAAAGCTAAAGCCATAGCAGTAGCTATGTATATTCAGTCCTTACACCATAATGTTTGCGCTGAAAAGTATGCAATAAACGACTCGTTAACGCTTGAAACCCAATTAACAGCAGCAGTGGCAGTATATGAAGAAGAAGAAGCAGAAGAAGCGGAAACAGTTCGCATAGATGATTGTGTTTATGTTTGGGGTCCGGCAGTAATCACAACATTAATCTAAAGCGCGAGCTAGGGGCATAAACTTAATAATACCTTTTAAGCGTCTTGTAATAATTAAATCATTTATAACAAATCAAACGGCAACTCAGTTAGCAAATAATCTGCAGCAAGCTCTCACACCCCCTAATGCCACCCCTATATTATAAATGAGCTAAAGTTTTTTAAGTTTTCAATTAGTTAGGTATCCAGTCTCCCGCCGTGGTGACCCCAGGCGGTAAAATCTGCTGCTGACTATGCGCATAATCAAGACAAACAGTGAATGAAGAGGACTGCCTGTCATAATGAAATATTTAAGTGGATATTTCTTGGGCCCCAGCGTTTTAATTGACCGGCGACCAGTTATTTGTAGCGCCTCTATAACGAGCGTGGGCGTGAGCTATTTAGATAGACATCTGATGTTTATGCAGCTTTAATTTGAGCAGACAGGCTGCATAATTAAATTAATAGGTAAAGTAGCTCATTAATTGCCGGAATGGGCCAAGCAATTTATTAAATATCCGAAATGAAGGGCGAAAAATACCCTAAAATTGAGAGTAAGGGGTGCGACTTTGAAAATGTTCGCTCCACTCGCATGTAGGAGTAGACAAGTTTTGTTTTAATTTTTCTTGCGAATATAAGTATAAAGAGCTGCGCCAAAAGTGCAATTCAATACACTGCGGAATTGTGCCCTTTTATTGGCCAATTGCGTTTTTTTCTGGAGAGTACATGCAATCTTTTTTTAATAAGCGCACTTCAGTATTTTTCCAGCTAATTGGCTTGCAGTTATAAGAGATGGAATAGCACTTCGATTGTGTATACGATATGTGGGCGCCGGCAATACATCCGAAAAGAGTGGGTACTTATGCAGAAAAAAACGTATGATTGAAATAAAATATGTACGTTTGTGCTTTGCTGTAGTGGATTAAACTAATGAGTAGATTCGTGTGGGTAATGATGATTGCAAAAGCCAGTGTCGCATAATAATCACTTGTTGGATTTAATTATAAAGCCAGTGAATTTATTTTAATGCGATTAAAGGCTTATATGTTAAACTATAAATTAATTCATTTACTTTGTTTTTGTGGCAAATCACTGTTTATTAAGCTGCTGACAAAACTAGTATTTAATAAAGACTAAACTATCTAATTTCAATTACAATAGCAGCCAATGAAGATGCTGAAACTAAAATGTGTCATACTTTGATTTTTAAAGGTCAGAAATATGGTTTTCTTAAAGTTGTGTTCCTTCATCTTTTGCTTTGAAAGTGAAGGGGAAACATTTTATTTATTGACAGTTGTGGAAGATATATATAATGCCTTATAATTTGGTTGTAATAACAAAACTTTTCTTGGCCAATTGCTAATGATGGCGAAGCACAGTAGTTGTGTAAATTACAGAGTATTGCCACTCGGCTGGGTAATAAAGAAGGCATTTAAGGCCATAGGGGCTAAACAATTGCGAGCATAATTAAGTTTAGTTTAGTTCTGTTTTATTTGCCGTAACCGACTAAAATATGTATGTGTATCCTACCCCCATTAACTAGGCAACAATGAAATGCTAAACGAGCTTAAATGCATGAACGTGTGTGCATGTGCGTGTGTGTGTGGCTGTTGCTTTGTTGTTGGCACATCATCAATGCTGCCTCAATACAATCATGTTTAATTGTTAT